GTAGTAAGATGAACTTAGAGATCATTGAAACAGATGTAGAAAGTATGGTACTTCACTTCTAGACAACAAGGTCATACATATATGTATATAGATAAATGTAGATAATTAAATATTAAACCGTCGTTAATCAACCAGAAGAAGATGTGTCCCAAACTGTTTAATTCGGATACATCGGCAAAACAGGACAGTTGCATGGATTTGTATACACTTGGCCTTCTTCTGTATTTGGATTTAAGAAGACTTTGCCGAATTTCTAGATAATACCTAGTGATGATTATAAAATGATATTCGCCTTCAATCTCGTAAATATTACGTTTGGTAAATTTTCGTTCTTTTCGCACAAGACGCTTTATACATTAAGTTTATGTTAACGAATTCTAATTCTGGTAAGTTTTCTTTGAATTTTAATGTTTTTGACTTTCATTGTGCTATTTTGTAAGGAAAAAACATTTGTTGAGTATTGCAAAATATGACCATAGGAGATGACGTCATAGTTTCTAGAAATTTATGTTGATAAAATAACAACATAAACCATTTTTTATCATTTCAAATGAAGTGTTGGTGACAATATTTGCCTCCCAGATGTATCCAAGACCATTATTAGAGCAGTCTTGACTAAAATCAGATAATTAGCTATCACCGTTCTCAGACCTATTGTCATAACATGATTTTAGAATACAATTGTCTGCATGCCTCAATTTTATCCAATATTTAATATATTCTAAAATTTCTAATAATAAGTCGGGCGCTTGAAGGAATCTCTAAATTTCGGAAGCATAACTTACAACGTTACTTACAAATGTGTCAAATATAGCTACAAAGTAATTGGGTTTCAATATAAAAATGTTTATCTCTACATACTCTAAAAACAGCAAGGCTTTCCTTCCTTGATCCGCCACCCTTTTCTAGGTTTGTCTAAATTAACCATTATACTTTATTAGTATACCTAAATATTTGAACTCATTAACTATATCTATTTTTTCACCATTATAAATAAAACCATTTTGCATTCTCCCTAAGATTTCCACCATTTCTGAAAAAAACTTTGGTTTTATCTTTATTGACCGTTACAGCCCACTTTAAATTATTACAATATTTGAGTACAAAGAATATGTAAGATCACTGCAATGTGGAAAAATTCTTATCTTTGTCTACAAAACTAAGAGCGGACAGTGTACGGGGGTGTTGAATCACTATTCTTATACTATTAAGGTTATGATAAATGTACTGCCGTGTCTGTGTACTTGTTCAGCTCTAGCGGCCTTATTGTTCAGCTTCCAATACATATGTCTGAATCTGTGCATCTGCCAAGGAATGAATTTTTTTTTTTTAAATGAGTCAAACAAGAGAAAAAAATGTCGATGATTAGGGAGATTGTCACGTTTTATTATTCAATTAAGCACGTTTGAATTGGTTATACAGTGGCATGTCGGAACGATATGGTCAAACTTGTTCAGTCTTCGCACAGTCGCGAGTCGTGTGATTTGACAGGTTTGTATTAGCTGAGTTACAGTAAGAAATGTCATTTTAAGTCTAGCGAGAAGAAAAATAGCTGTCACCTGTCAATTTCATGGCAAGCAATTCTCACCTGTATTCAGGTGTTCAACTGTCGCTAAAGTGACCGCATGTGGTTCTCTCTGGTATGAATAGACTATATGCTAATCAAGAAACTAGACAGGGACAGAGTAGGAAATTTCATATAAGCTGTACAAACCGTTAACATTATGAGAGATTAACGACAGGCTTGAAAATCAACACTGCTTTTGTTTCAAGGAAAAAAAACGATGGTACCTATCAGAGTGCGGACGTCTATGTCTTCTTTCGTGGTGATGATAGTCATTCATTAGGATAACAATTAAGGTGGTATTCACCAACAGTACAGATAGAACCCGTTCATATATTAAGACATCTTCCTGTATTCTCGTAAGAATTTTTTTTCTGTTATTATAATAGAATGATCAACGGTATATTTCAAAGCTAATATCTGAGTGTCGAACATAGTATAAGGTGAATTTTTCTAATAGATATGAAATTTATATTCAGGAAAAAAATACACACACTTACATACACCTACACACACACAAACACAACTAAAAGAAGTTTGAATACACGTGTATGTTTTTTCTCTTATTTCAGCGTTGATGTTTTTGACAAAGTTTCTGAGACTACTATACAATTACACCAGGGGTTTTCAACTCAAGATGATGAGATATCATATTGACGTAGTCTTTGTTTAAAACAGTATTAAATACAACATCGCCACTCTTTGTTTACTCCGATGTTGGGTGGGATGGATGGAGGTGTATAACACGAGCTTTATACTTTGTGTATATATGCAGATCATGCATCTGCTTCTCCACTCAACCGAAACAGGTGACGTACTGTCTAAACTCACAACTTGTCAATGTACACAATTCCCGTGCTTTTACAGCATCAACCAAGAACAATGTTGACAGAGGGCGATTATTGTTGATGTAATTATCTGTTATCACTCAATTCGTAATCACCTGCTAACGTGTTTTTCGCATTTCTTAAGTTTAATGACTTATAGGGGTTGTAATTGTACGTTTACAATGGTCTCATAGAGAGAAAAATGAAAATGGAATTTTTCAGTAAATATCTAATGAATACTTTGTCTAGAAGGGAATCGTTATTATATGATGGGAATTCTGTATTCCCTGATTTTTTGTACCATTGCTCCATGATGTTTTCCGTTTTTTTTCGTACAAGTTAATAGGGATAGATTTATGTATTCTTATACTTATTTCTGATATACATTTTACTGTGATTTGTTTGTTTATTTACTTGGTTTATCGCTCCACATTTTTACTCTACGTAATCCCTTTACCCTTTTGAGATTCGGTGACGTATTATATTTATTCAATTTGAAAATTGTTAATCTTTCTACAACTGTTTATTTTGAAATCTGATTTTAGAGAGAAAAATGATAAAAAATACAGCAAGGCTATCTAACATATTACACACATAATTCATTTGCTACAGTTTCACAAATAATTATGCGTCCCTGTCTGAAAATCCAGCATATTTAGTACAATTTTATGCCGTGGCGGCAGATGTCACCCGCGGATGCAGGAGCAGTATACTATATTTTGACATCATATTTGTCATCGAAATATACTACCGGTACAGTTTGATTGCTTGTCAATATCAACTACTGTAAAAACTAGGACTTAGAATGCAATCTAATTTTATAAAACTAGAGCAAAACTTGAAAGAACAAAAATATTTACACAGGAACTCTCCTGACACTCGTCGAAAGTATAGAATTGTCAAGGAGGCGGATATTCTCCTTTTGTACGTAAATTAACCCATACAGAGCACCATATATATACCATACACAATGTAGGTAGTTTTACAATTAGATGTTCAAAACTTCTGGATGTATAAAAAGTTTTACCTCCCTAATATGACCACCTTACGGACAAAAGTGGTCTTAGTAGCAAGGTGGTCTGGATAGTGAGTATGAGTAAGTAGACAGAATTCCCTTGGTTTTATACCGTTATACGGTATTCAACACAGTAATTGCAGCTGGAAAGCCAGTTAGACACCTTTAGATAAGACACCTGTTGATGTACACGGTGGAAACTATGCTAATTTTTATGACTGGTCAGTTTTCTGAAAAGTGAGGTGAAGTTCAAACCAATTAAGTAATTGGGACATTATGCTCTTTATGTTAATAGTAATATAGTATTGGTAATGATGCTTACAATACAAACAAACAAACAAAAAATACCGATATGTAAATCCAATCTCAAATGCGATAAAACTCGGGCAAAACATGAAAGATTTACAAGTAGACTTCTGAAAATAATCCAAGGCCATGTAAACTATGATCTACCAAGGTAAGTGATATATGAAGAGGATTCTTTTGACTGAAATGAAGTGTTCTTTACAACGACGCGGTCTTTAGCTGTGGTTTCACTGTACCAGTGTAGAGTCAGGATTTACTTCCGATACAGCTGAAGACACACTAATCAAATCGGTTTTGATGTTGTCATGTTGCTTACTTGTAGCATAAGCTTTCTCATATGACTGTCATTTGTCATGAACTCTCAATTAAACTTGAAATCATCGGTATTTCATGTGTAGTTTCTGTCGCTATAACACCATCGAAGATTTACCTTAATACTGAAGTTCCGTAAAACGGGGGACAAGTCAACAACTCGACTTCCCTTTGCACCAGAGCTTGCAACATTGTAATTCATTCTTGTTTTCTAACAGTAACTACATGTATTTTTTTCGCGTTAAGTTCCATTCTCACTCTGTGTTATCTCCTTTGAAATCTGAATTAGAATTCTCCTCTTTCTACAATGACAGTGTCTCAACGTCCTCCAACTCCAACTCCAACTTGTTTAAAGGCAGGTTAGAGAAAACAGTGGTCAGTGAAAGTTTTCAAACAGGAATCAAACAAAATTTGTAACATTCTTAATCATTTCAGTGACAGTAGCTTTGTCGAGAAATAAGAGATTGGTATATTTCTTCATTTGAATTTTGTCTTTAACGCCATTGTTTCTTCGGTGACAACAACTTGAATATTTTCACTGGCTACTGATTAACTCCAATCAACTTTGTGAAACGCATCATTATCATTATCGTCCCCATCATCATCATTAAAGTCAGGATAATTCGGACTATAATCGACCTGACCAGAGCCATTTAGCCAACCAGTGAATGGTGGAGCTTATTTTCGTAACAAAAATGACATGAGTAAAATTGAAGTGATTTATCGTTCAAATAAAATAACTTAAACTAATTTGCTGCAGATTTACAAAGAGGTATAAAGGCAGTCTTCTATCCCTTTTATTATAACGTTTATTGTTTGCACTCGATCGGTCGGACCTAGTAGATGTCACTTTTGAGCTCGGAATGCTACATGACGGTCATGTTTATTTTTAGAATGGGGAAACACCGGATGTTTCAATTAAGATCTCGCAACGTGGCTATGACGTCACTTTTCGAAGGTGCCATCTTTCCAGCAGTCGTAAACACTGTCAACGTAAATAACAAAGTTTTCAACTGACTTAGTTGATTGTGGACGCGGATTCTATGGAATTGCAGGTATATGTAATGATATACTAATGCTTTGCTAGGAAACTGTAGTTGAGTTATAAAAATTGTGATCGGCCACGAAACACTTGCATCACCAGTTTCCGAGTGTCATCCGGTTACTAAGCTAAGACTAGTCGGGTACATACCAGTTTCTGAGTGTCAGCGCTCAGCACACCGATTTAATGGTGTATTGACGGACGAGAGTAGTACGTGTGACCTGTTTAGTTGAATGCACAGTAGACTTAAACTACAGGTACATGTATAAATCGTCTAAATGATAAAATCAGCGATAAAACATACACATTTAACACTGCACGATAACCAACAAACACAAAAAAAAAAAATTGATAAAAAATGCGGGTAGATAGTCAGACAGAGACATTTAAACAAACATTAATACATATTATATTGTAAACACGAAGCCAACCTAGCTGCACTGAACATGGCATCCCTTCATTTCAAAATGACTATTGCCCATTAGGCTAATAGTTGTTTCTTATTTATCGATGAACAGCAGTCTTATCTTATCCACAAGGTGCACATGTCGCAAACGGAACCTTCAATTTTGTTATGAATTAGTGTTCCGTAGGTGCAGAGAGCGATAAAGACCCTAGCATCGAGTATGCACCAACTCTTTACATTCACAATGTGTATGAAAGTTGCTGTGATATTGATATCTATATATATCTATAAGGGAAAACTCCATAAACAAATTACTACCTGTATAATACATCATGAGGTTTTTTCGCTAAATTTTTTTTACTACTACCTGTATAATACATCATGAGGTTTTTTCGCTAAATTTTTTTTACATGTTCTTAAGGATATATGATGGCTGGTTTTCCTCTATAACAGGATGACATCACTGGGAGGTAGTTTTAAGTGACAGTTTTTCCTACGCTGATGAAATATAGTTTTATTTACATGATTTTCTTTCAGGGGATTTGACTATTTATATCTGGACATTGCTGACAGCAGAAGATAACAAAGCCCATAACTTGAGTTGATTTGTGACGATAAGACAAACTTTTCACCGAGATCAGAGGTCATGATGATGGAAGAATCATCAGATGAATCAGCAGAGATTATAACTAAGGAGGAAGCTGAACTGGCTTCCAGGATGCAGGATGACACACAGATTTCTGGTAGGTAGACCATGCAACCCATGTTACACATCAGACTTGAGATGCAAAGTAATATAGCTATATTATATTGAATGGTAAAATTTTGAAATTGGGAAATATCTGTTTCATGAAGATCGCTTTGTAATCATGCATGTTTCATTACAGATTCTCACCTCCCTAAAAGTGATGCTTCATTCCAAGCACCAGTTGGAGGTAGTTTTGGGGTCAGCCCCCCTGCTCCTTTGCCAGCATTTATGAATGTCAATCCTAATGATTCAGTGCAAAGTTCACAGGTGAGATCTATTGTCAGATCATTCTTTTATTTTACATTTGTAACCAGCTTATTCAAAGAATAGACTGGCTTATAGAATAAACTTCATAGTGCAGTGCTCTAATAAGTAATTAAATATGTTTTCTAGGATGTTGATATTCAGTGTTAGGGTACAGCAGTAGTTTTGGGCTTTGTTATTCATTTAGCAAAGTGAACTACATTGTATTCTCAATTATTCATTGATAGGAATTTTGATCTTTTGCTTGGTTTGATTTTTACAACAAGAATGTAAATATTGTTTGTGTGAAATCAATGAACATGTAGCTGATCATGAATCATAAACATTTTGATAAGGGTACCTCACTGAATACAATTGATATCCATGTTGTTGAGATGTGCTATCTATAGGCAAGCTGTGTTGTCCTCAAACACCCCTTGTATATACTAGCTGACTTTCTATAAACAATCATCTTGTATTTTCAGACCGGAATGTCAAGCGTTGCTAGTGGAGCACCACAACAGTAAGTAAACGTAGGTGTAGTATAGATTATAGATCTTTGTTTTTTGAGATCAGCTTTACAAACCATGGACAAAACATCAAGTAATGATGTATTTAAGTATAATAGAAACAATGGACAACAACACCACTGACTGAGTCCATATACATAATGTAATCTTTATATTTAATATCCAATACCACCAACCATCTTCTTTATCTGTAGGAATCACTGGATGGAGAGACTTTACCATGTTGCCCAATACTAATTGAATTTTCTTTCGATAAAACCTATGAGTATTTGAATTTCATCTGATTAGATTTTGGCATACAAGATTAAGGTCAAAGGTCACCATTAACCAATTTTGAAATAAAAAGCTTGTGTACAAGATCCCTCATAAACCCTTTGATAAATTGATCTCTCAATAGGTTTAGATCAGAAGTGAAAAAAATGAAGGGATGGGGGACTAAATATGCAAATCCCTGGTCACTTTGTATTTAGCTCACCAGGTGCGAAGGATGCCACTGTCCGGTGTCCATCCATCAACTTTTTACGAACGTGACCGACAGAGTAGATTTTGACTAAATTTGATCAGAAGCATCCTTAGTTAAAGTGCAATAAATTTTTTATAAACTGTAGGTCTTAGCCCCCTTGGGTGGGAAAGGCAGGGCCCCATAGAGCAAGTTCTTTAAGATCCTACGTTTACTGTAGGAATTATTGGATATTGTCGAAATTTGGTCTGAAGGATATTTTGGTGATGGGAAATCAATTTTGTGTAAGGGAGTAAGAGAGAAGCGGCCAAGTAGGAGAGAAAGAGCAAATTCTTAAAGGTCCTACTCCTCTTGTATGTGTATTAGATTTTGCATAAATTTGGTCTGAAGCATGCTTGGTTGAGGGGAAATTAATATTAATTTAGTATAAATGGTGGGTCTTGGGGGTCCCCCGACCCCAACCCCCTGGGCAGGGGGCTCAATAGGGGAAATTGGTTATATGTTTGAAACAGTTGATTGACTGGGGTTTAAGATCCAGATGAGCGATACAGGCACAATGGGCCTCATGCTATTAAACATCAATACTACTAATAACATGAAAAAGATCCAACATGCAGGATAACTATGTATTACTCTAGAAAATTGATTTACAGCGAACCATTTGATTTTTACATTTAATACACAACTTCTTTCTTGAAGAATACTTACATAAGGCTACTTTCTAGCAAACAGCAAAATTGGAATAAAACTAGAAGGTAGTTATGAATTGGAAGATAGAGAAGTTCTTACAGATTTATCTGTTTGTTTGAATAAAATTGAGGATCCTTAGTGACGCAGTTGAAGATGTTAATAAAGGCTGTTGAGAGAGTGAAAACAAACTGTGTTAAACAAGGATATCACTTCTAATGTGAGAGATCTTCCCAAATTAGTTCTTCTCTGTGGGAGATTTGTTTTGACATTAGATTTACAGACCATCATCTGACGATGGTTGGCTGTTTAAATCATCCTTCTCCATGATTTATTGTTTTCCAACTATAAACAGTCCTTCTTATTGCTCTTTCTTGAGAACTACTGGAAGGATATTTCTCAAACTTGATATATATGTTCCCCATATCTGTAGTTCAGCCCATTTAGTTTTGAGTGTGATCAGTAAAACAAATGACTGAGCTTGGATTTTGAAACTTTATTTTTGCTATTTTTTTTTTTAGAAACACTGGATGGATTTTTCATAACTTTATAATATGTAGGTTCCTCATGGTCCCTAGTTCTGCCCATTCAATTTTGAATCTGATCAGTGAATGAAAATGGCCAACAGGTGGCAATATTTTTTGAATTTCAAGAGTCAGATGTTTTTATTACTGTTCCTTAGGATGGAGAAGGACTTGATGGATCTTTTTCATATGTAGATTCCACCTAGTATCTAGTTGTACTCTTTTGACTTTGGGGCTGATCAGAAAAACAAATTGACTGACAGACTGTGCCTGTTCAATGTTAAGTCTGATCAGTGAAACAGACAGGTTTGATGTTTGTTATGGCTATTTCTGAAACCAGATGCAAATGTTTGCTTAAGAAAACAAAATGACTGGAGACCATCTAGGATTTTGATAGTTGAAGGTATCATCACTGTTTCTCAGAAGGTTCCTAGTGGTCTTGTATGAACATAAAATTAATTTCCACCATTCATTTTCAACACAAAATATAAAATAATTGTAATTATTCATAATTTATTTTACTAGCCCAGATGGTGGATTGTTCAAATTGCCCTTGGTCAATAATAAACAGTTATTATCATACAGTGGATACTGCTTAATATCATGTTCCATTTGTCAAGGCAGAATGTGATAATGAGCAGAATGTGACATTAATAGTTGACATGTTTTGCACCAAATGACTTGATTTTTACAGAAATTGTTTGAAGATAAAAATTTGTAATTTGTACAAATGACTTCAGGAATGATATTCTTCACCCACCTTGTCACCCAAAGTGACATTAATCAAGGGAAATATCACCACATATCTGTACCTGTTTTTCAGTGGCCATCATTTCTGTCTCTCACTGCCTGCCTAATCATTTACATACATTTTTTTTTGGTGAAAAATGTCAGATTTTAGTGAATTTTGTGAATTAGCAAAATTTTCACTATAAACTTCACTTTTTTTTTACAGTAGGTAAATCAATGTTTAAGTATGACAGCAATGGATATATAAAATGGTGTTTACCAGGTACATGCTATTTATCAGTATTTTCTTTTTCAAGGAGAGATGAATTTTAGTGTATTTTGCAATATGCTTAAAAATTACCATTCTAATAACAATATGAGACAGGATTGTATATTATATTTACATTCACAAATGAATTTCGTAATCTGAGACAAAAATTGGTTTTGAATTTTCTGCTTAACAAAATACTTTTCTATGTTAACAAGTTCAAATCTCAGAGTAGCAGAAATAGTATAAGTTCCTCATGTAAGTGATCAAAGGGATATTTTGTAATAGATTTAAAAGGTAAAAAAAAAGAAACCAAACTTTTTCTTTTGTAGAAATGCTTTGATTTTATCCCATAGTAATCTGAAACATTTAAACAGTGGTACTTACCCCCCAGGGGTTGAGAATTGTCAGGGGCCAAAAAAGTTAGAGAAAATTCTTTGAAATCCTTCTTCTGTAGGAATGCTCAAATGTTGTCCCAATTTTGTCTGAAGCATACTTGGATGAAGGGGAATTAATTTGGTATAAAAATAGGCCTTGGCCCACTGAGGTGGGGTTAAAAGAGGAACCATCTCTTCCTTTTGTGGGAATGCCTTGATTCTGTCCTGAATTGGGCTGAAGCATCCTTTGGTGAAGAGTATTAATTTGGTATAAAAAGTGGGTCTCTGCCCACTGAGGTGGGGCTAAATTGTGGCAATAGATGAATCAAATCTTCCTTTTGTGGGAATGCCTTGATTCTGTCCTGAATTGGGCTGAAGCATCCTTTGGTGAAGGGTATTAATTTGGTATAAAAAGTGGGTCTCTGCCCACTGAAGTGGTGCTAAATTGTGGCAATAGATGAATCAAATCTTCCTTTTGTGGGAATGCCTTGATTCTGTCCTGATTTGGTCTGAATAATACCTAGTTAATTTCATTTTGTATCAACCAGGAGTCTGACATATCAGAGATGTGCAGCCCAGTAGAAGAAATATCAGTTATTAAAAATCCTTCTTCTGTGCAAGGATGTTTTCCAAGCTTGATCTGAAGCATATTTCGTGAATGGTGAATCTGACTTCTGCTTGACACAAAGTCAGGATCCAATAGGGAATTATTTCTGAATTTATGTGTCATATTTGGAATTCATCGTTAAATGAATGAATAGCTAGATTATCCAGGTGTGTAATGCAGCATTGAGCCTCTTGTTATCAATACCCAAGAGTTTTCACATTACTATTGATTTTTTAATTATTTTTATTACAGAGTAACCATGACTACTAAGTCACCTATCACAGCTACTCAGGTGTCAGCTCCAGGTAAGATTTTTTTTCTTCCCTACATTGAAATGTTGCTGAAGCAAGATAAAGTATCTGGTATTTACCTATAACCTAGGTCATAACTGTCACTGTTTAGAGTTGAATATTAAAGTTGTTTGTTGTTGAAATTGGTTAAAATTGTTTGGATCTGCCCACTTTGAATGCCAGTGATGTACATGAATACCAAGTGAGCGATGCAGGCCAATTGGATCTCTTGTTTATTGTTTCGAGTATACGGAAATCTTCTGTAATAACTGTCACTCCCAATAACCTTTGTATGTTACAAATCACTCTTCCTCATGGACTTCCAAACTAATTTTGTGACATGCAATCACGAACTGAAAGAACAGATTACAAAATGATGATGTTTATTTACAATGTAAAACTTTGAATATATATATATATATAGACTCGCTTGCAAACACTCACTCACTCCCAAATAAAGAAATACAAATGTTATGTAGTTTCACAATCATGGCGACTGCAATCCAACTAGTAATGTGCAGACAACTCAACAGAGATAATACAATAGTTACTAACCTGTGGCTCAGCTTAATCTAGAGCCACTAATAAAAATACCACTTCGAGCAGTATCAGGCTCGTATATACCATACTTGGCATGAGCACTGTGCCCTCTAATCAGTTTAGATTAAAAATTTGTTACTACCATGATGAGATTATACATGATTGGATGAGTTCCAGAGCATTCCTTTCTAACGGAAATGATAGCAGTTTTCTTATTGTCAGTTTAACCTGAAGTGTTGCAAAGTTTATGTGTATGTTCCTACAGGTCCAGTGGCCACACCTTACGAAGTGAGCACACAGATACCAGCGGACATGATCCCAGACTCACCATCAGACATTCCGGGAGGAAGCACTGGGCTGTTTGGCTGGTTCTCCGGCAACCGAATTGTTTCTAAAGTCATGGAGAAAACCAAGGTAATAATTTGTCATGAGATGAAACTATGTCCTGAATTTGATTAGTAAGAAAAGATCAGAACTTTAATAAGTCCTGTACATTATTTAATCTTATATCACCCTGGGAACCAACATTTTACATCTAACTCAATGTCAGGGGATTGCATCATCTAGAACAATTTGAAATAGCATTGGTTTAGGATTATACTGGAAAGTAATATCGATGGATAGACTCATCATCGGGCATGGGCTTATTACTGGATATCAATTATTGTATTCATTTATCTCTATTTTGGTAAAAATTGGAAGGTATTCTGTAACAAAATATTTTGAGCAAAATTTATGTATAATAAGCTCTATTGGAGAAATATTTTGAAGGTAGTGAAACTTTATAAGCTTATATGTAGAAGCTTGATGAGTGTGTTCAAAGTCAATGTGACCTAGATAAAACTAAACAAAAAACATTCTGATACACAATTGTACCATATGTGCATGTAAAAGAGGATACTATTTTACAAAGCCTTTAAATAAAAGATTGAACATTTAGACTTATAATAGTAATCTGAAACCAAATGAGCCAGAATTTAAAATGAATGATGTGGAAGAATGTGGCTGAAAATTTACTAGAGAGTCATTACATCTCATGTTTTTATAGAGGACAGAAGAAAATACCAAAAAAATCAGATATTGTTTTCAGCTTTGCTGACTGTTTAATTTACTTACAGAATTCTGTGGAAAGTATGATTACAACTCTGGACCCAGGGATGAAGGAGGTTATAAGTAAATATTTACATTTGTGCAGCAATGCCATTACATTGACTACCCAGAATGATGTATGATTTATAATACTATAAATGCCATTACATTGACTACCCAGAATGATGTGTGATTTATAATACTTTAAATGCCATCCAATATGTGGCCATTATGATGTCTGTATAGAAGGCATAGAAATGGCAATGGTTTACCATCAACATGGCTTTTATACTTACCAATTACAATGTCTGTAACGAATCAGCATTGAAGTATAAATAAAAAAAAATTGGTAAACACTATCTTGTGCTTTTGAATACCTGCAAAGCTTTTGCATTTATAATAACCATGAATGCCATAACAGGACAGTTCAGTGTCCTAATTTCTATATAAGTTGTGGGATAATTGTTAGTAAGGCATGAATGAATGTGTGATGATTAATATATTAATAAATACTTATGTAAGAAACAAGATATCTTCTTAAGCGGAACAAATTGCAATCCTATAGTAGCTATATAATTTTGATTTAAGACCAAAATAACAAATTACAAAGAATACAGAATATGTTTATAATGTTTTTGATTTGTAGGATCTGGAGGAGATGTTGTGGTAGTTGTGACATCAACAAAAGAGACTAAAGTGGGAGCAGTGCGAGAGGCTTTTCAGACAGTGTTTGGACGTGCAACAGTCATAGGAATGGTAAGTTTTACCATGTTTAGGTCATCCAACTCACTTGTCAGATGTTGATGATGAGTGAATCAACAGATATTGTATGCTTGCCACCAGTAGATAATCTAACCACCTCTTTCACCAGTAGATTATCTAACCTCACTTAATCCTATTTGGGAGTTTTTAACAAAAATGACAAAAAACAAGGATATTTAAGAACATCAGTCATTTACACACATTAGATGAATTTAAGAGCTTAAGAATTTCCAATGATCAAACCAAAGCTGAAAGACAAGTAGAGGCAATTAAGACAGGATGCCAGAAAAGAAGGTGTCATAGGGGAAGTCAGGTTTATGGTCCGGGTCCCTGTATGGGCAAGAAAGATGGTGAAATTACTGCCAACATGTGGAAGTACAAAGAAAAGTTGAATAGAAGCAAATACAATGTACATAATGTAAATATGTTAGTTTAAATGTGTTGAGGATAAGTAGCGCTGCAGTCGTCCATAATAACTCATCTGAGGAACTTGTAGGAGATAATAAGGCCAGGAAACAAAATTTACTCTGCGTCAGTACAAATGCTGACAGCTTCCCTCCTAAATAAGATGGATGAATTCAAACAAAGATTTTTTAGCAAAAAATGGACCAGATATGATTGCAGTTACAGAAGAATTTTACAAAGAACATGGGTTATACATTGGATGAAGCTGAACTGGAGTTACTAATTATGAATTATTTTCTAGCAACTTTTTGGGCAAAAGTAGAAGAAATTGAGTGCGCTAGAATTACAGTTTGAAACGGATTGTGAAGAAAGTTAAAAATGTTACTGAACAAAAGCCTCTTATCTAATGAACATAATATAGATGTTTTAACAATTGTAACTGGAGACTTTAACCACCCCTACAAAGACTGAAGTGCTTGCAGTACAAAAGAAGTTAACAGTGCTAAATTTGTAGAATTCATCAGGAATAATTTTGTGTACCAAGTTAAGAACACTAGACATAGACATGGAGAAGATTCTTCATTGTTAAATCTGCTACTGGTGAATGAGATAAACAATATTAATATGATTGAATATTTAGAACCATTAGGATCCAGTGATCATCGTGCCTGTGATCACCATGTCATTAAATTTAAATACAATTGCTTCTCCGACTATGAAGCTGCCAATATTAAGACATTGAATTACTACAATGGAGACTTTGATGCTGTGACAGATGAATTAGACATAGACAGGGAGGGTGACATTAAAGAGAATGTGTGATTTATTCTTGGAAAAGCTCAGTATAGAAATAGGGATACATATTCCTAAAAGTAAACCAAGAAATACTAAGGTCTCCATTCCACTTAGCAAGGAGACGGTGAAAAGCATAAGGACTAAAAATAAGGGAGAGGTACATACAAGACAGGAAAGGAAAACACCAGGAATACTGTAAAGCCAAGAACAAGGTGAAGCAGTTTATCAGTCACAATGAAATGTTAAAATAATGAACGACACGTCGAAGAATCTGCCAAGAGCAATAGTAAAAACTAATGGAAGTATCTTAATTACAAAAGAAAATCAAGGAATGGAGTGTCAGAGAAGATGGGTCTGTCATTGTGAGCAGTGATGAAGATAAGGCAGAAGTACTTGCAAATTTTTTTTTAAGTTTTAAAATTGCAATAACATAATGTTACTGAAATAGAAAGGTATCACACAAGATGCTGTAACTAACATCATCGTGGGAGAGGCAAGTCAACTCCTCCACAAATTGAATGTTACAAAACCGCCTGTGCCAGCCAAACTACACCCACAGACGCTACGTGAATTTCCTTCTTTATTCATGTTGCCGGAGATCACTGCTATTTTTATGGTACCTGAAGGAAAAGCATATAGTCACTGCTTTGTCTGTATGTCCATCTGTTCGTCCGTTTGTTTGTCTGTCCATCATAGTTATGTTTGGAGCATAACACAAAAACTACAAGAGATGTAAATTAAGACTTCATAGGTAGATATGTCTCAACAAGGAGAAGTGCAGTGCACTAGAACCATCACTCTTTGTTGCATAATTTAGGAGTTATTGCCCCTTGTTATATACTTAAATTTTGTACAGGGCACAACACAAAAGCTATAAGAGGTATCAACATAAAACTTCATAGGTAGAAAGATCTCAATGGAGGAGGGCAGTGCACAAGAATTATAAGTCCTTTTTGTTGCCCTTTGTTAATTTTCATACTTAAATTTCGTCACATTAAGGGAGCATGACCTGTCTCAGATGACTGTTGTTAGGACAGGGAACAAAAGGTTAGCCTCAAGCTACAGCTAGTCACTTTCACCAGCATTGTGTGTGAAATGATAGAGAAATTAATCAGATCAAGAATATTAGATTACATGGACGAAAACAATTTATTTAGTGATAGGCTTTGCAACAGTTGAGTGTTTTAGACAGATTAACAGAAAATCTAGATGGAGAAGTTATAAACATTGTTTACATGAACCTCATGAAAGCCTTTGATTAAATGCCACATCTTAGGCTTAATTAGGAGCTGGAAGTGTACAGAATACATAAAGTCTGTGGAACTGGATTGAAAATTTTTCTTTTTGGAATTACAAGCAGAATACCCAGGTCAGTGCAGGGATGAGTTCTGTTTGTGATATCTATGAACGACTTACCTTACCAGTGTGTTTTATCTGACATATTCCTATTTGTGGATGATACTAAAGCTTTTAGAGAGATACAAGACATCAATGACCTGGACCAGCTCTGTCTGTGGAGTGGAAAATGGTTATTAAAGTTCAACCCAGATAAGTTGAGGGATATAGCTATTCGCAATAGACGCAGAAGTACTGATGATCACACAAGTAGTGGTAGAAATATCCTAGAAAACATTGAAAGTGAGAAAGACATTGGAGTAACAATTGACAAACATGTTACATTTGAAAAGCATTTACAAACCCAAATGAACAAGGCAAACCAGATAGTCGAGTTGGTGAGAAGATCATTTATTTACTTAGACAGTAAAACATTCTGTTTACTATGCAAAGCATTGGGCTACCCTATGTGGAATATGCTACTTCGGTCTGGTTATCCTGCAAAAATAGGATACAGAAGTAATAGAGGATGTCCAAAGACGAGCAACAAGCATGCTACCACAAATGAATAACATTAAGTATGAACAATGTCTAAAGTGCCGGAAACTGCCTAACTATGAACAATGGCTGAAGTGCCTGAAACTGCCTAACTAAGAACAATGGCTAAAGTGCCTGAAACTGCCTAACTATGAACAATGGCTAAAGTGCCTGAAACTGCCTAACTATGAACAATGGCTGAAGTGCCTGAAACTGCCTAACTATGAACAATGGCTGAAGTGCCTGAAACTGCTTAACTATGAACAATGGCTGAAGTGCCTGAAACTGCCTAACTATGAACAATGGCTAAAGTGCCTGAAACTGCTGACTCTAAAATTGAGACAGATGTGAGAAGATATGATAGAAGTGTTTAAAATTCTGAAAGCGATATATGACCAGACTGTTACACTAATCTTGGTGAAATTAAATATGTCCAAAAAAACATGGGAAAACTCAAAGTAGCCAGGCAGTACTGTACCAGAGATATGAGGAACATATCCCTTAGGGTAGTAAACATTTGGAACAGCCTTCCTAAATAAGTGATCTCCCCCAAAGCAACAGAACAGTTCAAATACAGGCTTGACAGTTTGTGTGACCAGTAGATAATCTAACCACCTCTGTTACCATTTTTAGATAATGACAGTAGATAATCCAGATAATCTAACTACCTCTGTTACCAGATGATCTAATAACACCTCTGTTACCATAATCTAATACCTCTGTTACCAGTAGATAATCTAACTATCTTAGCTTTCTCTAGATTATCTACCTCTGTTACCAGTAGATAATCTAACTACCTCTGTTACCAGTAGATAATCTAACCACCTCTGTTACCAGTAGATCTGTTACCAGTAGATAATCTAACTACCTCTGTTACCAGTAGATGATCTAACTACCTCTGTTACCAGTAGATAATCTAACTACCTCTGTTACCAGTAGATAATCTAACTACCTCTGTTACCAGTAGATAATCTAACTACCTCTGTTACCAGTAGATAATCTAACTACCTCTGTTACCAGTAGATAATCTAACAACCTCTGTTACCAGTAGATAATCTAACTACCTCTGTTACCAGTAGATAATCTAACTACCTCTGTTACCAGTAGATAATCTAACTACCTCTGTTACCAGTAGATAATCTAACTACCTCTGTTACCAGTAGATAATCTAACCACCTCTGTTACCAGTAGATAATCTAACTACCTCTGTTACCAGTAGATAATCTAACTACCTCTGTTACCAGTAGATAATCTAACCACCTCTGTTACCAGTAGATAATCTAACTACCTCTGTTACCAGTAGATAATCTAACTACCTCTGTTACCAGTAGATAATCTAACCACCTCTGTTACCAGTAGATAATCTACCTCTGTTACCAGTAGATAATCTACCTCTGCTACCAGTAGATAATCTAACTACCTCTGTTACCAGTAGATAATCTAACTACCTCTGTTACCAGTAGATAATCTAACTACCTCTGTTACCAGTAGATAATAACTACCTCTGTTACCAGTAGATAATCTAACTACCTCTGTTACCAGTAGATAATCTAACTACCTCTGTTACCAGTAGATAATCTAACTACCTCTGTTACCAGTAGATAATCTATCTACCTCTGTTACCAGTAGATAATCTAACCACCTCTGTTACCAGTAGATAATCTAACCACCTCTGTTACCAGTAGATAATCTAACTACCTCTGTTACCAGTAGATAATCTAACTACCTCTGTTACCAGTAGATAATCTAACTACCTCTGTTACCAGTAGATAATCTACCTCTGTTACCAGTAGATAATCTAACCACCTCTGTTACCAGTAGATAATCTAACTACCTCTGTTACCAGTAGATAATCTACCTCTGTTACCAGTAGATAATCTAACTACCTCTGTTACCAGTAGATAATCTAACCACCTCTGTTACCAGTAGATAATCTACCTCTGTTACCAGTAGATAATCTACCTCTGTTACCAGTAGATAATCTAACTACCTCTGTTACCAGTAGATAATCTAACTACCTCTGTTACCAGTAGATAATCTAACTACCTCTGTTACCAGTAGATAATCTAACTACCTCTGTTACCAGTAGATAATCTAACCACCTCTGTTACCAGTAGATAATCTAACTACCTCTGTTACCAGTAGATAATCTAACTACCTCTGTTACCAGTAGATAATCTAACTACCTCTGTTACCAGTAGATAATCTAACTACCTCTGTTACCAGTAGATAATCTACCTCTGTTACTACCTCTGTTACCAGTAGATAATACCTCTGTTACCAGTAGATAATCTAACTACCTCTGTTACCAGTAGATAATCTAACTACCTCTGTTACCAGTAGATAATCTACCTCTGTTACCAGTAGATAATCTAACTACCTCTGTTACCAGTAGATAATCTAACCACCTCTGTTACCAGTAGATAATCTAACTACCTCTGTTACCAGTAGATAATCTACCTCTGTTACCAGTAGATAATCTAACTACCTCTGTTACCAGTAGATAATCTAACTACCTCTGTTACCAGTAGATAATCTAACTACCTCTGTTACCAGTAGATAATCTAACTACCTCTGTTACCAGTAGATAATCTAACTACCTCTGTTACCAGTAGATAATCTAACTACCTCTGTTACCAGTAGATAATCTACCTCTGTTACCAGTAGATAATCTACCTCTGTTACCAGTAGATAATCTACCTCTGTTACCAGTAGATAATCTACCTCTGTTACCAGTAGATAATCTAACTACCTCTGTTACCAGTAGATAATCTAACTACCTCTGTTACCAGTAGATAATCTAACTACCTCTGTTACCAGTAGATAATCTAACTACCTCTGTTACCAGTAGATAATCTAACTACCTCTGTTACCAGTAGATAATCTAACTACCTCTGTTACCAGTAGATAATCTAACTACCTCTGTTACCAGTAGATAATCTAACTACCTCTGTTACCAGTAGATAATCTAACTACCTCTGTTACCAGTAGATAATCTAACTACCTCTGTTACCAGTTGATAATCTAACGTTACCATTAGATCATCTAACGACCTCTGTTACCAGTAGATAATCTAACTACCTCTGTTACCAGTAGATAATCTAACTACCTCTGTTACCAGTAGATAATCTAACTACCTCTGTTACCAGTAGATAATCTAACTACCTCTGTTACCAGTAGATAATCTAACTACCTCTGTTACCAGTAGATAATCTAACTACCTCTGTTACCAGTAGATAATCTAACTACCTCTGTTACCAGTAGATAATCTAAATACCTCTGCTACCAGTAGATGATCTAACTACCTCTGTTACCAGTAGATAATCTAACCACCTCTGTTACCAGTAGATAATCTAACCACCTCTGTTACCAGTAGATAATCTAACTACCTCTGTTACCAGTAGATAATCTAACTACCTCTGTTACCAGTAGATAATCTAACTACCTCTGTTACCAGTAGATAATCTAACCACCTCTGTTATCAGTAGATAATCTAACTACCTCTGTTACCTGTAGATAAACTACCTCTGTTACCTGTAGATAATCTAACTACCTCTGTTACCAGTAGATAATCTAACTACCTCTGTTACCAGTAGATAATCTACCTCTGTTACCAGTAGATAATCTAACTACCTCTGTTACCAGTAGATAATCTAACTACCTCTGTTACCAGTAGATAATCTAACTACCTCTGTTACCAGTAGATGATCTAACCACCTCTGTTACCAGTAGATGATCTAACTACCTCTGTTACCAGTAGATAATCTAACTACCTCTGTTACCAGTAGATAATCTAACTACCTCTGTTACCAGTAGATAATCTAACTACCTCTGTTACCAGTAGATAATCTAACTACCTCTGTTACCAGTAGATAATCTAACTACCTCTGTTACCAGTAGATAATCTAACTACCTCTGTTACCAGTAGATAATCTAACTACCTCTGTTACCAGTAGATAATCTAACTACCTCTGTTACCAGTAGATAATCTAACTACCTCTGTTACCAGTAGATCTAACCTCTGTTACCAGTAGATAATCTACCTCTGTTACCAGTAGATAATCTAACTACCTCTGTTACCAGTAGATAATCTAACTACCTCTGTTACCAGTAGATAATCTAACTACCTCTGTTACCAGTAGATAATCTAACTACCTCTGTTACCAGTAGATAATCTAACTAACCAGTAGATGATCTAACCACCTCTGTTACCAGTAGATAATCTATCTACCTCTGTTACCAGTAGATAATCTAACTACCTCTGTTACCAGTAGATGATCTAACTACCTCTGTTACCAGTAGATAATCTAACTACCTCTGTTACCAGTAGATAATCATCAGTAGATAACTACCTCTGTTACCAGTAGATAATCTAACTACCTCTGTTACCAGTAGATAATCTAACTACCTCTGTTACCAGTAGATAATCTAACTACCTCTGTTACCAGTAGATAATCTACCTCTGTTACCAGTAGATAATCTAACTACCTCTGTTACCAGTAGATAATCTAACTACCTCTGTTACCAGTAGATAATCTAACTACCTCTGTTACCAGTAGATAATCTAACTACCTCTGTTACCAGTAGATAATCTAACTACCTCTGTTACCAGTAGATAATCTAACTACCTCTGTTACCAGTAGATAATCTACCTCTGTTACCAGTAGATAATCTAACTACCTCTGTTACCAGTAGATAATCTAACTACCTCTGTTACCAGTAGATAATCTAACTACCTCTGTTACCTGTAGATAAACTACCTCTGTTACCTGTAGATAATCTAACTACCTCTGTTACCAGTAGATAATCTAACTACCTCTGTTACCAGTAGATAATCTAACTACCTCTGTTACCAGTAGATAATCTAACTACCTCTGTTACCAGTAGATAATCTAACTACCTCTGTTACCAGTAGATAATCTACCTCTGTTACCAGTAGATAATCTAACTACCTCTGTTACCAGTAGATAATCTAACTACCTCTGTTACCAGTAGATAATCTACCTCTGTTACTAGTAGATAATCTGTTTCTGTTTATCTGCTCATGTTTTCTTAAGGAAAGTTATTTGCAAACTGTTTAATTCTTTTAGGAAAGTCAAGCTAACACAGCAGCCCAACCTGTAGACTTCACAGCAGGTCTCAAAGGAGCTGAGGAACGCATACAGAATTTACGCCAGAAAGGGTCATTACCAGAAGGTCATCCTGTGGTGTCTGTGGAGGGATTTATTGTCGAGATGCTACCTGATAGGTCAGTGAGTGGGTTTATCTTGATGATATATCAGTGTAATGTTGTGATTGGTCAGTCTAGGTAATGGGTCAGCATGACGCTGTGATTGGTCAGTATAGGTAATGGGTCATATTGGTGTTGTAATTGGTCACTCTTGTTTATGGGTCCATTATTGTATGTTAATGGTTTAGTCTTGGCAATGCGTCAGTGTGGTATTATGGTTGGTCTTTAGGGGTAAAGGGTCAGTGTAGTGTGATTGCTGTCAGTCTGGATGGTGGGTCAGTATGATGTGATGGTCATCAGTCTGAGTGATGGGTCAGTATGGTGTGGTGCTTGTCAGTCTTGGTGATGGGTCAGTCTGTTAGATGGGTCAATATGGTGTGATGGGTCAGTATAGTGTGTGGTTGTCAGTCTGGGTGATGGGTCAGTATGGTGTGATGGTCATCAGTCTGGATGATGGGTCAGTATGGTGTGATGGTCATCAGTCTGAGTGATGGGTCAGTATGGTGTGATGGTCATCAGTCTGAGTGATGGGTCAGTATGGTGTGATGGTCATTAGTCTGTTAGATGGGTCAGTATGGTGTGATGGGTCAGTATGGTGTGATGGGTCAGTATGGTGTGTGGTTGTCAGTCTGGGTGATGGGTCAGTATGGTATGTGGTTGTCAGTCTGGGTGATGGGTCAGTATGGTGTGTGGTTGTCAGTCTGGGTGATGGGTCAGTATGGTGTGGTGGTTGTCAGTCTGGGTGATGGGTCAGTATGGTGTGTGGTTGTCAGTCTGGGGGATGGGTCAGTATGGTGTTGTGATTTGTCAGTATTGCTGAAGAATAACCATGTGGATATGAGAGTGATTGTAAGAGTCTGTACAAATCATATCACACAGAACAATGAGATGAATGCTGGTTGATGTATAGACAATATGTACACTACAATTTGTTTGTTGCAGGTGGTACGAGATCAGTTGTCTTCTTCTTCAGGATCCTGCCCAACACATAGAACTCCAAATGTTCTCACAGCCAACGCCCATCCCTGCAGAATACATACTGAAAGCTCAAGATGCTACACCCTCAGACTACCCTCAACGGTGGTCTGGCCTCAAAGTGACCATTGGTCAAGTAATTGAACAATCACAACCTCACATTGGACACGCTGATTGGCAGAATGCTCTTGTTGGTGTTAGTAGACGTGAATCATTAATGTTAGCTGCTAAAGGCCTTGCCTACATGTATAAACAGAGATTGCCAACATCTTTTGTTTCCTGAGAGATCTGTTTTTAATGGCCAATATTATGGTCATGTTCTTTCTGGTCTTGCCATGAAACGATGATTGAAGATTCCAAAATAATTGACATTACCTGTGATCCTGTGCTGTTTTTGGTTGTAAATTATCATCAAATGGGATGACTGAGAAGTTACTTTGCATAAGGAATCTGAATTATTTTACTGTAAATATAAGTTTTTTGCATGGAAGTAAACTAGTATGTTTCATTCTGTACAAGACATTTACATGTTATACAAACTATGGTACAAGCTTTTCAGTGTATAAGGAGCTTTAGGTGCAACATCAATCCTTCCTGATGCTATTTTTGAACCTTTTTGTTTCACATGATTAGTATTTATTATATGTAATTAACTTCATCAAATATCCTGCAGGATTTAAGAAATCCTTTATTGTCAATGTACCAAATACTGTAAACTTACATGATTTGGCATAATAATTATATTTTAGTGTTTTATCACTAATTTGCATATTAGAACAATGTCAAATTTGTTCATCCACAGTGATTGCTACATGGACAACCTACAGAAACTGTACTTAGTGCAATAGTTTAAGTACCAAGTGCATTAAAGTAAGATTGCTGCTAAATTATGTTTGTTTACAGTAGAATGTTGATGTTATATAGCTGCTTATTGCATGTGCAACCAGTCGTGCTTTTTATCTCAACATTGGTCACAATTCAATGGTTCAATCATACACCTACATGCAGTAACAAGTTAGTACAAATCTTGTAGTTTCAAAAGCTGAAATTGTAATGAAATTCTACACATCTATCTATCACTATATAACACTGTTTTACTGCATAACAAATTAAGGTTATGGCTATGATACTACATAATACTCATGTATTATTACAAAACATGATAATACTACGCTTCACTATAAAATACTACATGATGTTCTGTAATATTACACATAATGCTTTGTCATTTAGCTACCCTATTATCATTGCTATAACACACATCACATTGATTTTGTCTGTACAGATAACACTTTGTGGATCTGTAATTAATTGACAGCTCCCATTTTGCTTGTGACTTCATAGAGTCATGCATTTCCTCATTGCCAAAGATAGAGATATGGAATGAGAATTTTCAGATTTTATATTGGTCTAATAAAGTTCTATTTTCATGAATGATTGCAAACATATTTAAATCATCATTATGTGATTCTTACTTGTAGCCTGTCACTCATCACAGGTTTTCATTTTGCCTCATTAAAATGAAAAGTTCTATGATTTATTCCATAAATCTCATATGAATTGGAAACGCCTGTTCGATCTTTTATTCATGTCACTGAATAACACTAATCTTAAACATCATATTCCAAAACAGTAAAGAACTCCAGAAATCAGATTCCAATATCTGCATCAGAGCTAGACAGAGTTGTAAGGGTTTTTTCTACATCAGCTCTCTTGCAGGTGAACCAATTAAGCAGAGTCTGTTCTGGACTCTAGCTGCTGTATACATATATTAACTGTCAGTTATTGTGATGTTTTAAGTGTGAATCTGTCACTTGAACATAAATTTTACTGGACCTGTTCAATATCAAATGACCAATTGGAGCATAATTGTGTCCATTTAGAGTTTGAAAGATATTCTTAGGTGAGAGCAGTTTGATGATGAATATGACTGACATAATGATCTCATTGGGAAAATCCATGAATTCAATTTCCTTTTTGTGATATGAAGTTGGACAGTTTTGGTTTGAAATGTGTCTGGTGTTTTCACTGTTAACCTTGCTCTCATTTGGGAATGTGACATTTCTTCTTAGATTGACCAAGGTTTACATGACAGGTCTAGTCGATGAAGCAGAAGATGTTTACCCTTCCAGAACACCTGGTCCCATTCTCCTTGTATTTTCAGGATCTGTCCTTAGTTTCATCAGATTTGGGTTTGAATTAAGATTCCGCTGACATGCTGGTATTCTTTGTGGTTTTTGTATGAACTTGAAGTGTTGGAATGAGCTGAAGTTAAAGTTCACATTTCATTTGTCAAATCTGGTATCTATCTTCTTGAGGATCAAACAAATTCCTTTTCCAATCTGATTTACATTAAATATCTGTTACAGTATGGTATAGTGACATCATTACCAAATTATGGTTTGTACTCTTCCTGGCTAACATTTCTTTGAGCTTGTCAACAAAACTGTTCAAGTTTCTTGGGAGTCTGATGTTATTCTAACAAAAAATGGCCAAATTCTTAAAAACTGCACCAAAAAAGCTAGGCCAGCTCAGTAAGGTCTTTGGTAATTTTGTTTTTTTTTAAATTGTGCACAATTTGCATATTACACTTTCATTTTTTTAGTAGGTATCTGACATGCATGTACTCTTTCAGATATTTATAGCAAAAATGTTGAGGGGTGTATGAGTAAGGCTTACTGTGTTTAACTCAGTTAGAAAGTAGGACTTTCACCAATCCAGTTAGTTATACTGTTTTTTTGGTGATGGTGGTGGTGGGACTGCTTCTTGGGATAAATTTTTGAGGTTTAAATTTCATGCAACAATATTGAAGGTCAATATTCTTGAAAGGCTAACACATAAAATTATTTAATCCACCATCAGATGGTAATTTAAAAAAAATCATTTTGTTAAGTAATACATTTATTAACAATGCTTTTTGATACTTTATCTTGCAAATTGCCAGACAGACCTTTGAAGAGTGGTTTTCGTTGGTCCTAGTTGTACTATTTTGTTTGCAAATACGGAGAAAAATATGGACCAACCGAGTATCTGTTTTGTTTCAGAGTGAAAAGTTGTTACGATTTAGCAGTTTGAGTAGATCCATCTCTTACTCTACACAGGGTTTTGACTGGTCCTCATTGTGCATCATTACCTGAAGATCTTATGTTTGTAGGATAGAATGTGGTGCTGGAAAACATTCAGATCAAAATTTGTTTCTGAAAAGATCTTTCTCAAGCTGGTTAACTTAAGTCCTGGTTAAAAGATGTTTTTGGCAAGGTAAAACTTCAAGGTTACAAATTTTGCCGTCCATATCCTCTCAGCAGTATTAATTGTCAAAACAGGACATGAGGCCATATTTGTGGACATTTAGCTAATGATCCAAAAGAAAGCTTATATGACTAACAGGATTAACAATGGAGTTAATGAAACAGTATATACATCCAGTTCTGGATAACTTACAATGGCAGATTGTCAGAAATATATTTTTGTATGTATGTAGAAGTGAAAACCCAGAACACACCACAAAAACATCACTCTGAACATTGGAAAGATGTAAGAGAATAAACACAGAATTTTTTGTAATATTTTCTGTTATAAATAAAAACAAGAAATTTTACTTCTTTGTTGAGTTAAGTCTTTGTCAAGTGAAACAAGATATTGTTTTTGATGGGTTAATGGAAACATGAGTTTGACATCAAACAGAAACAATTAGCAATATTGCTATGTTTTTCATTTCTTGTGTTTTTGTGAAAAGCATGTGTTGTTGTGAAAAACAGATGGCATTCATGGGAAAGAAATCAAAATATGTATGTAGGAAGAGACATCTTCAGCTTTGAAAAAAAAGTGTATAGATTGATGAACAGGTGCAAGAATTGACAGAATGTGTGATAAACCATGCTTGATATCAATATGAAATAATATTGTTCAGAGTAAGTGTCCTTTACAGTTAATGTGAAATGGTTGAAAACAAAAGACCTAAAGATCCGAGAGACGGTCTTTGTGCAAAAATCATTAGCTCATCTGTTGCTGCATGTTTGATTTCATTTGGCCTCTAAAACACCTCACCCAAATTACTATTACAGAGAGCAGGGGCTGCCAGAATAATGGTCAGTGAGGATACAACCAGCGGATACAAGGAGACCCTGTCATAAATAACCCTGGTTCTTTAACAATGTGAAATGCAATAGTTAACTTTGAATATTGTACCATCCATTTTCAAATTATCTGATATTTTAACAAATGAGTATTCAATTAATGTACACAAAGTTTAAATAACCACATTTTTTAGACAGTTTCCTAATATTGTGTGCCATTCATTAACAGCTAAGTGTCTGTAATTCTGCACATAAGGACATTGACTGTTCATAGAGGAATGTTATTCCATAATAAAAAAAAAATGACATTAGTTTGAATGGAAAAGAATGCATGCATTTGTGCAGTTGTGGTATAAAATATATTGGTAGTTTAGGTCACTGAATGTGGATAAGAATTTTGTCATGGATGACTGATTTTTATACCCCCGCAACAAAGTTTTGAGAGGCATATTGGAATCGCCCTTTCTGACCATCTGACCATTAGACTGTTCGACTGTCCAGAATATAATGTCAAGTATGAATATATCAGATCTGTTCTGTTTAACCCAATGCTGGAACTGATGGGCAGGTTCTAAAACTGTCCAAAGTCCTCAGGTGAAAGGTAAGGTCCATGGGCCTCTTGTTTTGTCATTGAAACTGTGGGGTATTTAGGTCAATCTTAGTAAAGTGAAGTAACCTTGATGTTTTAAGTGAATGTAAATAAGGTGAAATCTTAAATTTTATGTCATTTATCAAAGTACAACATCAAAGTACTTGCCAAATAATGATATAATAACATGTTTGGATGTTTTCACAGAGTGATAACTGTAATAATCTGTTAGAGGACATGTTTTGCTTAATAGTACATGACATTGGGAATGTTTTCTGATATATGGGGTGTTGACATTGGGAATGTTTTCTGATACTTGGGGTGTTGACATTGGGAATGTTTTCTGATATATGGGGTGTTGACATTGGGAATGTTTTCTGATATATGGGGTGTTGACATTGGGAATGTTTTCTGATATATGGGGTGTTGACATTGGGAATGTTTTCTGATATATGGGGTGTTGACATTGGGAATGTTTTCTGATATATGGGGTGTTGACATTGGGAATGTTTTCTGATATATGGGGTGTTGACATTGGGAATGTTTTCTGATACACGAGATGTTGACATTGGGAATGTTTTCTGATACTTGGGGTATTGACATTGGGAATGTTTTCTGATACACGAGATGTTGACATTGGGAATGTTTTCTGATATATGGGGTGTTGACATTGGGAATGTTTTCTGATATATGGGGTGTTGACATTGGGAATGTTTTCTGATACTTGGGGTGTTGACATTGGGAATGTTTTCTGATACACGAGATGTTGACATTGGGAATGTTTTCTGATATATGGGGTGTTGACATTGGGAATGTTTTCTGATATATGGGGTGTTGACATTGGGAATGTTTTCTGATACTTGGGGTGTTGACATTGGGAATGTTTTCTGATACACGAGATGTTGACATTGGGAATGTTTTCTGATATATGGGGTGTTGACATTGGGAATGTTTTCTGATATATGGGGTGTTGACATTGGGAATGTTTTCTGATATATGGGGTGTTGACATTGGGAATGTTTTCTGATTCTTGGGGTGTTGACATTGGGAATGTTTTCTGATACTTGGGGTATTGACATTGGGAATGTTTTCTGATATATGGGGTGTTGACATTGGGAATGTTTTCTGATTCTTGGGGTGTTGACATTGGGAATGTTTTCTGATATATGGGGTGTTGACATTGGGAATGTTTTCTGATATATGCGGTGTTGACATTGGGAATGTTTTCTGATACTTGGGGTGTTGACATTGGGAATGTTTTCTGATACTTGGGGTGTTGACATTGGGAATGTTTTCTGATACACGAGATGTTGACATTGGGAATGTTTTCTGATATATGGGGTATTGACATTGGGAATGTTTTCTGATACACGAGATGTTGACATTGGGAATGTTTTCTGATATATGGGGTGTTGACATTGGGAATGTTTTCTGATATATGGGGTGTTGACATTGGGAATGTTTTCTGATATATGGGGTGTTGACATTGGGAATGTTTTCTGATACTTGGGGTGTTGACATTGGGAATGTTTTCTGATACACGAGATGTTGACATTGGGAATGTTTTCTGATATATGGGGTGTTGACATTGGGAATGTTTTCTGATATATGGGGTGTTGACATTGGGAATGTTTTCTGATACTTGGGGTGTTGACATTGGGAATGTTTTCTGATACACGAGATGTTGACATTGGGAATGTTTTCTGATATATGGGGTGTTGACATTGGGAATGTTTTCTGATATATGGGGTGTTGACATTGGGAATGTTTTCTGATATATGGGGTGTTGACATTGGGAATGTTTTCTGATACTTGGGGTGTTGACATTGGGAATGTTTTCTGATACACGAGATGTTGACATTGGGAATGTTTTCTGATATATGGGGTGTTGACATTGGGAATGTTTTCTGATATATGGGGTGTTGACATTGGGAATGTTTTCTGATACACGAGATGTTGACATTGGGAATGTTTTCTGATACATGGGGTGTTGACATTTGGAATGTTTTCCGATATATGGGGTGTTGACATTTGGAATGTTTTCTGATATATGGGGTGTTGACATTTGGAATGTTTTCTGATACCTGGGTTGTTGATATTTACAACAATCATTGACTAAGTAAGTATCGAGATTATAGTGAATTAGTTGTGTTACAATAATACATGATTTTCAAAATACTTGTTATCTCAGTAAAGTCCATAAACAATTATACATATTCTAGATGACTGATGGTCATTTTCAAATCGGTCAAATTAAAAGATTCATCAAGAAACATTTTACCACAAAGTTGAGAAATCAAATAATAGCTAAAAATGATACTACTACACACACGAATACCTATGGAAACAGAAAGGCAAAGTTAAAATTTCTGGTAGCTTCATTTCAGACTTATTCTTGGTATCAAACTAGTATTGTAAATGTTATGAAGAGTTATCCTGTAAAATATCTTTCCATTTAAACAAAGGAGAGATTTACATAGTAGATTGATATAGGGATGGTACTGATGGAAGGAAGGAGAGATTTACATAGTAGATTGATATAGGGATGGTGCTGATGGAAGGAAGGAGAGATTTACATAGTAGATTGATATAGGGATGGTGCTGATGGAAGGAAGGAGAGATTTACATAGTAGATTGATATAGGGATGGTGCTGATGGAAGGAAGGAGAGATTTACATAGTAGATTGATATAGGGATGGTTCTTAGGAAGTAAGGAGAGATTTACATAGTAGATTGATATAGGGATGGTGCTGATGGAAGGAAGCAGAGATTTACATAGTAGATTGATATAGGGATGGTTCTTAGGAAGTAAGGAGAGATTTACATAGTAGATTGATATAGGGATGGTGCTGATGGAAGGAAGCAGAGATTTACATAGTAGATTGATATAGGGATGGTTCTTAGGAAGTAAGGAGAGATTTACATAGTAGATTGATATAGGGATGGTGCTGATGGAAGGAAGGAAGGAAGAAAGGAAGGAAGGAGAGATTTACATAGTAGATTGATATAGGGATGGTGCTGATGGAAGGAAGGAAGGAGAGATTTACATAGTAGATTGATATAGGGATGGTTCTTATGATGGAAGGAGAGATTTACATAGTAGATTGATATAGGGATGGATCTTATGAAGTAAGTTATTCAGTGAATCTAGACACAGCTGTCAATGATGAAGGAAAGAACAATTAAGTGCATCTAAACAGGGATGGTGCTGATGATGGAAGGAAAAATTAAATGGATTAAGACAGACCTGGTTTTGATGAAGGAGTTTATTGGATGTAGACAAGACTGGCTACCGTTAACTACTCTGGTAGATAATTCAGCTGGTGAAAATGTCTGGAGGTCCCAATATGGTGTTCAAGTGTGGTTACTATATTTTCCATTTGTACACAACGATATACCTAAATTTACAATCCTAGAAAAAGTTATTTGTTTGGAACATTCCTGTGATAAACACTATGAAATACATAAAATAACAATGCTTTAGTATAAGTTAAGAGATTTATTTTCAATGGTAAAAATAATCAATATTCATGCAGGTACAAAATTTTGTACTTAAAATTTCTGCTTATATTGTCTGTCCTAAAGGGAAATAGATATCCTTGAAGGTATCCAAAATTTCAATGTTAGTCTATCCTTAAAACTGTCTTCATATTCCAACAGTATGGTATGCCTGATCAAAATTTCCTATTAACCTCTAATATGACATATGCTCAATCAAACTTGTCAGTGAATGCAGTTTTTTCTATGATGTACAGCATCAAACAACACATTTATCTGCAGACTTTGACTTCCTTTGTTCCTGTGCTATGAAGGTTTCACAACTTTTTGATAGAGTTTATATTATGTCTCAGAACGAGACACATTTTTGCTGGAACTGTATCCGTTTAATAGGAAATATTACCCTTTTGCATTACTGTTTGCATAACTAAATCATGGCCATGTTGACAAAATGCAAGCAAAAAGTTGAATATGTTGTTGAGAAAATCAAACAAAACATGTTGACCAATGAAATGCTTTCATTTTTCTATCCTGTTTAAATGTCTGATGATAATTTCTCATTATCAATCTTCTTTCCCATGTATAGAATTCAACAATATCTGTAATTATTCACATTAATGAAGAAGAAAACTATCCAAAATGACACTAGCAATACTGAAATAAAGATGTCTTTGACATCAATTAAGAGAAAATTTAAACCGGTTCTTCATACACATAACTCACAGTATTTTCAATACCAGATATATATATTAAAATGATGAGGGATATTTCATTTTTCATTATATTGACATTTTGAATGGCAGTGTAGCATGAAATATTTGAAGAGTAGTGTTTTATTTGTACAGGTAACGTACATAAGGTTCTATGGTATGGAAATGAAAGTCTTACAGGATCAAGTCTTTTTGCAGGATTCATTCCAGCAAAACGCAGTGAAAGAAAATACTTTTAAGGAAATGATTACTAGATCTGAGTTCTAGATATCTTGATTTTTAACAAGTTAGACGTGTGCTATTTATCAACATGGGTGATAGGGACAATCCAACAGGCTTTTACTGATAGTAAGTGGCTGCAGGAAAAGTATTCAACCCTGGTCCCTCTTGCTGTTAAGGGTAGCAGAGTTATTTCCCTTGTCACTGGAAGTGGGTAGATGGTATTGCTGATAAAACAACATACATACTTCACTTGCATAATTAAATAAGTCTAATATCAAGTGAAGGCACGAGATCACATCTGTGTTTACAGAATTTCCTCAGAAGAATTCTTTTAAATGCGGTGATAACCAGCACACTCACAGATAATCAAAATCCATATTTAGCTTGAGTTTGTCTTTTTGTCATTCTGTTCATTGACCACTGGTTTTTCAGATCAAGTTCTGTCTCCTTAGCCTGCAAAGAGATATTTCACATTACAGGTTATACAATGTTCCAAAAATATACAACATTTCTGGTAAGCTGGAATCTGTATGCATGTTTTATACATATTTTGAATTTCATACAGCAATTTTTTCCAGCCTTAATGATAATAAATACAATTCAACATTGATCTCAGTCAGAATCATAAGAGAGTTTTTTTTCTTTCCTTACCAACCTATAAAAAACATCCATGATACTTTAAATGATCAGTGTACAATTTTACACATCCTATTCCTACATTGTAGTCCAATTGCTTCCAATAGAAGTTGTATTTATCAAATCACCAGATTTAAACATTTTGATGATGTGGACGGTATTCAATATGGACAATTAACTACCGAAAATATTCACAATTAACAACTTATACATGGTAACAAACAAATAACACTTATGTAGAGTATACCGCTGTGTGTTGCTATAAAATCTATATTTCAGGCAGTAGAAGTGGGGACATACATATGATATATAGACAGATTTCAGTACGTTGGTTTTGAAATCTGTCCCAGTTATTACCTGATGGGCTAAGTATGTGATTTGATGTTTGCGTTTCTGCTGTGATGTTGGGCCATCTTTCTTCCTATGAGAAGCATATTCCTTTGTTTCCTCAGACATAGCTTTCTGAACATCCACAGTGCTGATAAAATCGTCTGCCTTTACATCCACAATGTTTATCTCTTCTTTTCCTCTTTGTTTCTTTCCTTGCATTCTTAAAAACTGTGAAAATAACAGTATTGACAAGTAATTCATTTACTTAATATCCATGTTTCAATACACTTTTCCCAAAACAACAATCACCAACGGTGTCAACATTGAATGAATTCTTTTTGTATATATAACTACAGCAACATCTATACAGACTCTAACCCAGTATTAAGTGTTAAAACTATTTATTTCTGAACGTTTTTTTATTACCTGTATTTATAATAAAACTGAATGTATATCCAAAAGAACAATAACTTATGAAACTGATACTGGAATTTCTATACTTATATCTTTTGACTGATACTTTGGAATAACAATGAACATACCTCCTCGTCCTGCTCAAAGTCCTGGCAATACTGCAAATTAACATTATTCATATCAAAATTAATGAGAATAGACTGAAGAGGAGAATTTTTAAAGAGCCATTGAAATTTTCTAGAACTCTTTTATCTTTGTACATACATTTAACATTTTGATTTTAAAATAAATGAAACTAGAACTGTGCCCAGAATGACCGACTAATAACTCCACCCCGGTGCCAAGTTACCTTGGAAACCAAATGACATTTAATGTGTTTGACATTGGTACCACTGTATCTTGTAATTATATCGATTTTTGGCACAATCAGTCTATATCTCAATTTTGTCCACTCAGAATCTTCTATCATGTTTCCATATGAACAGTTGTGGAAACATCTGATATGTCAAATTACAAGCATTGTAGTGACCTGGTTACCATGGCAACCCAAATTTCTGCAAAAAAAAAAAAAAAAAAAACCCAGCATGCACATTTACATATGATCCCTTACATTCCTGTGTAGTCTAACTGAAACCATTTCACAGGTTTAGGAGTAGACAACAACTTCATCATTACCTGTGGGCCAGCTTCATACTGAACAAAGTCCATTTGAGGACCTGCCATTTCCGTTGCCATTGGTGATGAGTCCGAATTAGATCCATATCCACCATATTGTACCTGAAAGGATGCTGCTGACATTGTGTTCCAATTACCAGATTTAAAAGACAATGGTTCATCCTGACCAGACAATGATTTTAATGATGAGTTCATATCTAATTGTTCTCTGTTTTTACTGACCGTAGAAGTCACTTCACTTATTGTAGTATTACTAACACTTTTAATCATTTCACTCTTGTCTATTGCTGACTTTGGTGGAGGCAGAGACAATTTACTAGACCTTTGCATAGGAATAGGTTCAGATAACACTGGTCCTGCAGGCAAAGGTTCTGAACCACCCAGTGAAAAAAAATTAGCAGATTCTGACTCAGCATCATCACTATCACTGTCACTTCCATAACCTGATAAACCTTGAAACTTTGGAGAAGGGTTCAATGTCACCGGATCTGTTTTTGATGGTGCAGGTTTCTTGTTTGCCTGTGCTTTTTTCAGGCTGTAAGGCAGAAGTATTCTGTTTGTCTCCTTTTTGGCTGCATGCACTGGTGCAGGTAGTAGAGCTGTGAGACCAGATTTTACCTATGTGGATTAATGACAAAAAGCTCAACAAAAGTTGACATCATCACCAGAAAGAGGTTTTACATGGACTTCTTAATTTAAAGCTAAAAGTCTGTCTCTTAAATTGGCAAAAATATACATAGCATCGATCATTACTGAGGTTTTGAAATGTTCTAAAGATATATCCTTTATGTAGGACACACCAAATTGCTTCTTTTTAAATTATAGACAAAAATAAGCTGTAGCTTTTGATCAAGTTTAAATGAAAAGTGAAAGGTTACAACTATACATCATAGGGATATAACATGCTTTAGTTCTTTATTAGATAAACTTGACACAATATTCAAAACAGAATATCTACAAAAAAGGGGCATAACTCTACCAAATGTTGTCAAAATTTTATGAATAGCAAAAAAGGCAACTTTATATCATAAGGATGTGGTATGCCAAGTTTGAGAAATATTGCTTCAGCATGCTTGTTTTGATACACTTGACACAATATTCTGGACAGAGGGAAGGTGGGATGGTGGGAAGATTCACCTCCATATTTGTGTTCATATGCAGACTTTGATGCTAGCTTCATTTATTGTTGATCTCATAGAGGTATATGTAAATATATTTACATGATCAGTTGCAACCAATAACCCCATTTACAATCAGGAATTCCATCTAAAAACTATACAGAAAGTAAAGGGTCCAAATTAATACAAGGGGCCCATGGACCTTAATTGTTATCTGGCAATCAAATCATTCAGTAAGATGACTTTAAAAACAAATTTTGATTTACTAAAAGTACTTTTAAAAGAAAATACAGATATTTTGCCAAAAATCATACAAATGAACAATATTGTTCTCTCACAAATTCTTACATTTGAGGACAACTTGGGTTTTTTCTTCACTTGCTCTTCCTCATCAGAATCCTGAAAAAAAAATAAAAAAATCAAATCTCAGATATTTCCTCAGGAAATTAACATAATGTCACATCAAAAATTGAATTAACAATAAAGAAATGTTCAGCATTTGTTACTGGTAGAATTTCTTGATAATTAATATGAATGTAATTAAATGCTACTGTTGTACGTCTAAAGCTGTTCCAGGATACTTACATTCTGAAGGGCTGGTATGGTAATTTTCACTTTAGCTCTTTTTGGAGGAGGTTTTGGTGCATCTTTTATCTGTGACATCTTTGGTTTCACTTCTTCTTCAAGATCATCCTCTGCTTTCAGGTTTTTGTCTGATGAGGAAGCCTCTTCATATGCCTTTGGTTCTGGCAATCCTGATTAAAACATTATAACAACTGTAGAATAACACATATATAAAGGAAGCTTTATTTTAGAAACAGAAAAAATAATTATGCATGAATCATTGTTTAATATGCAAAATGAATGAGAAAAAAAATATAAGAAAATGATGAAACACTGGCTATTTTCTGGCATTGAAAATCCTAAATCATAGATCTGATCATGAAACCATTAATTTTATGATCTATTTTAATGACTTTTGTATGAAAGACAATCATTGGTACAATTTAAGAACATGAAATATGAACTATCATTATATTTATATTTGTATTTTTACAAGTATATAAAAACTGTAAATTATATTTAGAGTAGACATTTGACGTCTTGAAAACATAAGACTGCGCCAAAACTTTTGTCTAAATCTGTCAGACTTTATCCAAGCTTAAGTCTATACCTGTCAGACAGTACCAAACCTTAAGTCTACACCTGTCAGACATTATCCAAGCTTAAGTCTACACCTGTCAGACTTTATCCAAGCTTAAGTCTATACCAGTCAAACAGTACCAAACCTCAAGTCTACACCTGTCAGACTTTATCCAAGCTTAAGTCTACACCTGTCAGACTTTATCCAAGCTTAAGTCTATACCAGTCAAACAGTACCAAACCTTAAGTCTACACCTGTCAGACTTTATCCAAGCTTAAGTCTACACCTGTCAGACAGTACCAAACCTCAAGTCTACACCTGTCAGACAGTACCAAAGCTAAAGTCTACACCTGTCAGACTTTATCCAAGCTTAAGTCTACACCTGTCAGACAGTACCAAAGCTTAAGTCTACACCTGTCAGACTTTATCCAAGCTTAAGTCGACACCTGTCAGACAGTACCAAACCTCAAGTATACACCTGTCAGACAGTACCAAACCTTAAGTCTACAGTCTACACCTGTCAGACAGTACCAAAGCTTAAGTCTACACCTGTCAGACTTTATCCAAGCTTAAGTCGACACCTGTCAGACAGTACCAAACCTCAAGTATACACCTGTCAGACAGTACCAAACCTTAAGTCTACACCTGTCAGACTTTATCCAAGCTTAAGTCTACACCTGTCAGACAGTACCAAACCTTAAGTCTACACCTGTCAGACAGTGCCAAACCTTATGTCTACACCTGTCAGACAGTACCAAACCTTAAGTCTACACCTGTCAAGACTTTATCCAAGCTTAAGTTTACACCTGTCACACAGTAACAAACCTTAAGTCTACACCTGTCAGACTTTATCCAAGCTTAAGTCTGCACCTGTCAGACTTTATCCAAGCTTAAGTCTACACCTGTCAGACAGTACCAAACCTTAAGTCTACACCTGTCAGACAGTACCAAAGCTAAAGTCTACACCTGTCAGACAGTACCAAACCTTAAGTCTACACCTGTCAGACAGTAACAAACCTTAAGTCTACACCTGTCAGACTTTATCCAAGCTTAAGTCTACACCGGTCAGACAGTACCAAACCTTAAGTCTACACCTGTCAGACTTTATCCAAACTTCAGTCTACACCTGTCAGACTTTATCCAAGCTTAAGTCTACACCTGTCAGACTTCATCCAAGCCTAAGTCTACACCTGTCAGACAGTACCAAAGCTGAAATATACACCTGTCAGACTTTATCCAAGCTTAAGTCTACACCTGTCAGACTTCATCCAAGCTTAAGTCTACACCTGTCAGACAGTACCAAAGCTGAAATCTACACCAGTCAGACTTTATCCAAGCTTAAGTCGACACCTGTCAGACAGTACTAAAGCTGAAGTCTACACCTGTCAGACTTTAACCCAAGTTTAAATCTTCACCTGTCAGACTTTATCCAAACTTAAGTCCACACCTATCAGACAGTACCAATGCTTAAGTCTACACCTGTCAGACTTGACCCAAGCATAAGTTAATACAGTATAATATTTTCTATCAAGCCATATTTTTAGTTAATTAATAAATTCACTTGCTCTGACATATCAATGCCCTTGACACACATATTTCTCCAATATAAGTAAATGTAAACTTTAGCTTATATTAATCATTCTTGTTGGCCAAGATGGAAGCACACAGGGGGTCTTACTGCAGGAGGGAACCAGGGCACCAGAGTCTCAAAATCAAACGATCACAAGGAGAGACCAAAGATACATACTTATGAAATTTGAGAGATATCCATTCAGCACTTCTTTAGAAAGAGCAATAACAATCTTCACTAGGCAAAATCCAAGATGGCTGCCTTTCGATCATTTCGTTTTTCTGATCAGTCCCGAACTCAAATTTGCACAACTAGAGACAAAGAGGAACCTACAGGTGAAATTTAAGAAAACTTCCATCAAGCACTTCTCAAGAAATAGTAATAACAAACTTTCAATGTCAAAATCCAAGATAGCCACTTTTCGGCCATTTTGTTTTTTCTGATCAAACCCAAATCATATGGGCACAACTAGGGACTATGGGAACCTACACATAAAATTTGAGAAAGATCCATCAAATACTTCTCAAGAAGTAGCGATAACAAACTTTCTAAGTCAAAATCCAAGATGGCCATCTGTTGGCCATTTTGTTTTTGGGAGTAGTCCCATATTTAGACAACTAGGAACCAAAAGGAACCTTTATATGAAAATTTTCAAATAGCCAAATCAAAAAACCGTCTGATATATTGAATTTTTCAGGTCCTAAAAATCGGGGAAAGTGGCCACCAAGTTGGCATTCACAAATTTCAAATATGTGATTTGTGGTGATAATTCATGTAAAATTGAGTTGAAACCTACCCAAGACTTCCCAAAATGTACTCAAGAGAATACCTTAGCGAGCAGAAAACACTGAAATTGTTGTCCCTTTTAATCAAATCATGCCGTCAAAAAATGTAGACCATGAGTGAAATTTCTCCAAAATGTCAAATAAATCACCTATTTTCAAATTATTAGAACAACTATAGATGACTGAGTATGTAAAAAGACGAAATTCTAAAATATTAGGTTGGAGTTCATTTCATATTGAATTATGTCAAAACATCAGAGGAGTACATCCTTAGGAAAGCTAATCTTAGTCCAAGGTACAACATATTGATTACATATTTGCAAGTGAAATATACAGAAATATCTCACTGATAAAAGTGTTATTTTTCACTAGTGTCTTCAGTGATAACAAATATATTTCACTCATGTGTCTAATATTTTTTGTATCTTACACTCATGCACAAAGAAACTTAAATATTAGACACACTTGTGAAATATATTTGTTATTACTGAAGACACTATAAAATATCCTCTAAATACCCATGTGACCTGTCACCTCAAGTCAGCCCTGACATTGGCATACACATTTCAAACAAAGTTAGGAACAATGTGTAAGATGACAAAATTCATAAGTGGCCACATTTGTTTAAAATATCACAAGCCGTAATCAAGGAGTGCAACTCATCATCGCATGACCAAATATGGTGTCACTACCAGTTCAGAGCTAAAGGTAAGACATATCGTACATACATACAACAAACTAAAGCATTGTTAGGTAACACTATGGCTTCCAGGGCCATACTTTACGATATGATTGTTAGTTAGACAAGTCTGTGTCGCACTAATTCCCTATAACAGACATGGAAGGCCTAAATTTGATATCGTAACAATGCCGAACATCAATGGCTTCCAGGGCTATACTTTACGATATGATTGTTAGTTAGACAAGTCTGTGTCACACTAATTCCCTATAACAGACATGGAAGGCCTAAATTTGATATAGTAACAATGCCGAACATCAAGAAAATGCCACCGAAGCAAGTAACCACAACTATACCCACTAGATCCATTAGAATACGGTGTGTTCTGTGTGGGAAATCTTATGCCTCTACAAGGAATTTAAGAAGACATGTGAATGTGGCCCACACGGTCGTCAAAACATGGTACAAGTGTAAAATGTGCAAATAAACATTTGGCAGAGATAGTGATTATATTAGACATATGAAAAATATCCATCCGGGGTACATAGGGGTGAAGCAGGAAGCAGTCAAACCAGACATCAAAAGACCGTTTGAAGTCCCGACATAAAAGCAATTGGAGAGTGCAAAATTCAGGACGAGGTCAGCCACTAGGAGCAACGCCAGCGGCCCTCCAATGAGACTGGTACTAGAGGAAACGATGGATTTATTAAGGCAAGACTTAAGTGATTCGGAGAGCACAGCCTCTACCCCCAATTCATCCGAAGCGAAGGAGGAGGAGAGTGTGGATTTCCTGAAATTGTACTACCTATCGGAATCCAAATCAACTGTGTGTTTAGATGAAAATTAATAAACTGTGTTAATTGTTTACATTCTTGCTATAATTTTCACTATATAACCATGAAGGAATTGACTGTCAAACATTATGTTTTCAATGGACAGTAATAGTGAATAGAGTTATTGGCCTTAATTGTTAATGTCATAATTAACAATGTAAATTTGCCCGCTCTGAATGTACTTTAGGGGATATTTTTACGATAGTGTTGTCCTGGTGAAGCCCTATTATAAGGGCGAAACCGGTAGACCAACTACCAAACGAAAAAATTTTTGAAGAACCCGCCTCTAGCTTGTTGGATGGATTCATCCCTATTTAAGCTTTTGTAAAAATGTATTAACCTTGTCATAAATTAATGCAATTTTCAATAATATACTGCAAAAGTTACTGTTCAAACGCTTTCTGCTATTTTTAGTAACAAACCCATACCCCATTTAGCATATAAAAGACCGGTTTGGTTATTAAATGTAAATTTTTGGTTTCCCCTGGGCGAAATGGATGGTATCATGATTTTAGTTAATTGTTCTATCCTTTACAGAAAATTCCAAAACTTTGCATTTTGATCTTTACATTATGGGGTCTAAACATCTGGTACAGGTGCGTTTATGTATAGAGGAAAAATTCCAGACCACCTGAACTCTATCAACCGGGTTACGCGAAAACGTAAAACAATACATACATTTTTTGTAAGCTAATCACTTCACTTAGAAATCAAATAAGCATGTTTCGGGGGATAATCAACACCTACCTGACTAGTCTGAATTATTCTGATGTTCTATCGACTTATATATATCGCCAATCGGTCTGGAGACCGGTATAAAAAAGTCGATAGAACGTCTGAATGATATGGACCAACGTCAGACTCTTCCAGCCAAGGAGGTTCCAAACATAACAATTTATCAATGACATATTTCTAGTCCTAAACAATCTAAATACCTCTTAATAATGAACCTATATCGGGCTCGTGTATACTATTTCTGGTAGCACCATGTTCAGTTCGCTCCCCTTCAGAGTCCGAGTCCGAGATCTGCTCGACGGTAGTTGCAGGCTCATTTTCCTGACTCCCTTCTGCGCCAGGCGCTTCAGCTGTATCCTTCCTCGTGGTTATGTTTGCAGTGATATGTGCGTCGTCGCTCTCGTCGCTTTCGTCTCCACTCGAAGCATATGCAACAAGCGACATGATTTGTGTACCGTGATCTATCAATTTCTTGCAAAATGCAAAACTGACTGCTAAGTCAGTTCGTCTTTACCGGAAATTCATATGTCGGATATACCTTTGAAAAAAAGTACATTTTTAAGTTCGTAAGCGGCAATCATATTTCAGCAGACGAAAACACCTGGAATGTCATTTAGATTAGATATAATAATTAATGATTATTTTTTAATAGATAGGATATATGCACACTGTTTTCTGGTGAATGCATTCCTTTACACGTGAACAGCCCTTATCTGACATCTGAAAGTTGATCTCCCGTCGCGGCCAGCAGTCTATGTGGTGACCGGCTTCAGTTGACGAGAAAGGAACAGCTGACGAAAGTTGGAGTGCTGCTAGCGAAGGATACGTGTAACCATGGAACTTCTGACCGTAGTAGAGGTTGTAACTCAAATAGTTACATATCTTATGTTTGCAAGTGGGATGTAAGTATATATGCAATGAACGTACATTGTTAGTCCTGTCATACCTGTCAATTACTATAATACATTACATACCAATAACAATTCCCTCGAAATGGCTTTGTGAATACAGTGTATATACTATCCTTACTTCTTTCAAGTATAATTTACATTGATTGTAGAGACAAACTACTACATAGTATCATTAGATTTTCAAGATTCCGTATGGAAAAGAAGAAAAATCTGAGACAACTTTTGTGCAACCCTGTTGAAACAGTTCAGAATTATCCCAGGATAAACAATTTCGCATCTGCGCCAGCTGTTGGAATTGTTACTGTAAATTGTACAGCTCAAACTGCAATTTTAGATTTTACTGTTGAAAAAGAACAAGTGTTAAAATATGTCTACTTTAACCCATACTGAATGTTGTAACTTTTCTTGAAAAGTGCTTGTACACTGACCCTATTTTATGCAGACTCTGAAAAGAAATGGTATTCATGGCAGTCAGTTTAAAAATTTCTTCAGGCCACTCTTTTGAAAGTTCATCTGGCCCAACCATTTCAACTGCTAACATGAAAGTCCATTGATTATCCACTGATAATTTATGCACCTGTCATTCCTGACCAGTTTGATGTATAACAGAGATTTACTAGCTATTGTACAAGAGACGATTGTTTCTGTTGGAATGATCTCCATTTAACAAACATTCAGTAGATGTCGCTGATAGATATGTAGCCTATACATTTATGCTGGCAGCCAGTTAGTCTGCACCTGAAATGGAACAATTCATGAAAGACCTACAGACATCAATATTTTTTTTATAGGCCTAGTCAAGACTGCTCAGGATTTTTGAAAAATATTAATTAAAATTTAGTGGACAAATATATATGTTCATTAGCTCACTTAACACTTTCTGCCAATTAGCTTATGGTGTAGTGAAGGAGCTGTCATCTCATCATCTATTCAACTATTTTGTTACTACGACAATGCACCAAAATTCCATCCTATTGATAATTGACCTTGAATGATTGAAGTCACATGGTAAAATAGGTCAAAAATAAGATGACCAGGATTCTTATATTTAACCAGTAAATATTTAAGACTTAATGCAATGAAGTTTCCTCATATTTATGACAATAATGTTGACCTATTTACAAGGTACATAAGAATTTTCTTTAAAGTTCCAGAAGACCTAGGGTTCTGATATATTATGGTCTTCTATCTTCTCTCTCTTATAACATTATCCTTTTTCACTTAGCAGATTTAAGTTTACAAAAAGGGAGTGAAGATCAAGATATCTTTTTAATCAGATTTGTTATACATCTTTAAGAATCTGCTTCTCAAATGTGGTTAATAGGTACTTGGGATGTAGTGCTATGAAGTTTCCACAGGTAACTGACCTTGACCTATTTCTGAGGTCACAAGGAACAGATATATTTAATTTTTTTTGATTCTCTCAAGTTTCAGAAGATTCAGGGTTCTAATAATTTACAAACAGGTACCTGATTTGCTCAAATTCAAGCACATTTTCTTGAAAATCAGAGTATCAATCTAGAGGGATAATTATGTAGGTATTAAGTAATTAATACAATATTAATGAGGTGGGATGGAGTGTCATTCCTGTCAGATTGCCCCAACTTTTATCAGGTTGGTTATCCGGGGGTCAGGGCTAACATTTGGCATGTCAAGTTTGGGGCAATGGGACCATTGAGAAACATTGTGCCTATAATGGGGATTTGTATGGTCAGCTATTAACCTCCTCACCATGACAGGTTTAGCCAATGACAACCTAGGAGGTTTGTAGGTTACACTGCTGCACTGACCTGCCCAGCCACAGTCTCCAGAGCACTGTGGAGTGACCAGGTCCCACCTCCAGCACTGACAGGGCTTTAGAATCCTGAATGATAAACACCCATCCCACCCATCCCTTTAGATTAGATCTTTTATGTTGTAGTTATTAGTTGTATTTGTCTCTTAGCAGAAGACCAGTATTTCATTATTTGTGGACTGTGTTGTCCACAGATATATAATTTTGTAATGTTACATAATATTACATAATAAGAAAATATTGGTTACTTTTGGCCCAAACCTGTGTTTGTGTTTTTATATACCCCTATCTACCAGTACATCTGATTAATTTGTTAGTGTTATATCATTAACACCAGCACTACAAGTCATTTCTTATGTAAGTTATGAACAAGGATTATGGAACATGTGATAATAATTTTTACATTCTTGTTTTAATATCCATTTGAGCAATACATGCCCTCTAGGCCTGTTCTTACTTATTTTCCAGACCACCTTGCCTTCATATGTACAGAACCAAAAGTACCAAGAATGTGCCTTTCACATTTTTTGCCATTGGATTACTGAAGTAAGTTGGTGATGTATATTGTCATCTAGATACTAAACATGCACTAATGTACTCTTTACCAAGTGTGATAACAAGGTTTAATTATGAGCAGAGTTCACTTACATACCATAACATTGGATATTGTTACCATATCCAACAATGCAACCACACACAAATCTTGATATTCCTACATGTATCAAAAACTTTATGAACAATATCACCATTTTCTATTTACCCTGAATTAATAGAAGAAGGCTGCAGTGACCTCTTTTTTGAGCACAGCACACCAAGATATATGTACTCACACATTTTGAGGATGCACTGCAGAAGAGCTTTCAGCCTTATGAAGGTCAAATGTTCAAATATAGTTCATATTGGCTAATTCTGGTACCAACACATTATTACACTAGAAAATTCTTCCAAGTGTCACTCACATGTATATTGATAATTAGTAAGTGATGTTGCTTTACAACACTATTCAACCAAGTATTAACAAAATTGAGGTTATCTACTCATAGCTTATATATTGAATCAGGAGGTTATGTTAATACAGAATGAAGTGAGCTTCTACATAAAATTTGTAAATGATATTGAGGATGAATTTTATTTTGTTTGAGTGTATCCAGCTATCACAGCATCTGTATGTAAAATAAAAAAAAAACAAAAAAACTCACTTTTGGAGAAAATCTGTATTTATATAAAATCAGCTTTTAAACACTACAAATATTTAAGAGTTAAACTTATTGAGGAAGTTCGTGTATGAAGTAGCTATTTATGAGGAAATCATTAAAATAATTTACTGTCCATTCTCTACTGTATCAATTAGTGTTCTGTACGATGTTTGGATATTATTAAGTTTTTGTATGTATGTAGATGACCTATAAAGCTCAACATATTAATGGAATTGAATTGAACGTTATCTTCCCAAGCATACCTACCACAAATTTTGTAGATCCTACATTATCTTCCCAAGCATACCTACCACAAATTTTGTAGATCCTACATTATCTTCCCAAGCATACCTACCACAAATTTTGTAGATCCTACATTATCTTCCCAAGCATACCTACCACAAATTTTGTGGATCCTACATTATCTTCCCAAGCATACCTACCACAAATTTTGTGGATCCTACATTATCTTCCCAAGCATACCTACCACAAATTTTGTAGATCCTACATCGTCTTCCCAAGCATACCTACCACAAATTTTGTAGATCCTACATTATCTTCCCAAGCATACTTACCACAAATTTTGTAGATCCTACATTATCTTCCCAAGCATACCTACCACAAATTTTGTAGATCCTACATCATCTTCCCAAGCATACCTACCACAAATTTTGTAGATCCTACATCATCTTCCCAAGCATATCTACCACAAATTTTGTAGATCCTACATCATCTTCCCAAGCATATCTACCACAAATTTTGTAGATCCTACATTATCTTCCCAAGCATACCTACCACAAATTTTGTAGATCCTACATCATCTTCCCAAGCATATCTACCACAAATTTTGTAGATCCTACATTATCTTCCCAAGCATATCTACCATAAATTTTGTAGATCCTACATTATCTTCCCAAGCATATCTACCACAAATTTTGTAGATCCTACATTATCTTCCCAAGCATATCTACCACAAATTTTGTAGATCCTACATTATCTTCCCAAGCATACTTACCACAAATTTTGTAGATCCTACATTATCTTCCCAAGCATACCTACCACAAATTTTGTAGATCCTACATTATCTTCCCAAGCATACCTACCACAAATTTTGTAGATCCTACATTATCTTCCCAAGCATACCTACCACAAATTTTGTAGATCCTACATTATCTTCCCAAGCATATCTACCACAAATTTTGTAGATCCTACATTATCTTCCCAAGCATACCTACCACAAATTTTGTAGATCCTACATCATCTTCCCAAGCATACCTACCACAAATTTTGTAGATCCTACATCATCTTCCCAAGCATACCTACCACAGATTTTGTAGATCCTACATCATCTTCCCAAGCATACCTACCACAGATTTTGTAGATCCTACATCATCTTCCCAAGCATACCTACCACAGATTTTGTAGATCCTACATCATCTTCCCAAGCATACCTACCACAGATTTTGTAGATCTTACATCATCTTCCCAAGCATACCTACCACAGATTTTGTAGATCCTACATCATCTTCCCAAGCATACCTACCACAAATTTTGTAGATCCTACATCATCATCCCAAGCATACTTACCACAAATTTTGTAGATCCTACATCATCTTCCCAAGCATACTTACCACAAATTTTGTAGATCCTACATTATCTTCCCAAGCATACCTACCACAAATTTTGTAGATCCTACATTATCTTCCCAAGCATACCTACCACAAATTTTGTAGATCCTACATTATCTTCCCAAGCATACCTACCACAAATTTTGTAGATCCTACATTATCTTCCCAAGCATACCTACCACAAATTTTGTAGATCCTACATTATCTTCCCAAGCATACCTACCACAAATTTTGTAGATCCTACATTATCTTCCCAAGCATACCTACCACAAATTTTGTAGATCCTACATTATCTTCCCAAGCATACCTACCACAAATTTTGTAGATCCTACATTTTCATCTCATATGAAGGCTGATCACAACTACACATAAATTATGAAGAATCTATACCAATTAACAATGTCCCAATTGATTCACTGCTTTTTACCTTATGAAGGTTAAATAGCAAAATATGGAGTGCAGTGACCTTTTCTTTAAGTATGTCACTTTTTTCTTATTCAGGTATACATACTCACACAACATTTTACCATTTAGCATCGGAAACATGTCTTGAAAACTGAAGGATAAATATAGATTACACTCACTCACCACACAGTACATAAATGACATCTCAGTGAAAAAGTATGTAATAACCCACACACAAATCATACTGATTCAACACAAGATATTATGTAGTATGGGAGATATGCCTTGGAATCAATGCAAAGCACAGATTATACACATGCTTGATACATATGCACGAATAAAAGAACAACACAATGGACATGTAATTTTTACCTTTCCTTTCAATGAAGGAATAAGCTAATACATTATCTAGGATAACAAAACAATAATTATGATTATTGTTATGGAAATGCAAGGTTTAATGAAAACCAAACAATGACAAAATGATGATTAATGTCATATCATTATATAATTTCGAACACATCAATTGAAATTATATTATACATGTATATCCAACCCAACTGTTTGGTCCAAAATGTGATAAAGAAAGAAAGATCTTGTTTAGTGGTGTTGTTTTATTGAACTCATCTGTCACTCACACAGAAACACCACCTACATACATGTGATCACACTGAACTTGTATATTTTGTCTAACAGGGACCTCATAAAGGATGGTAATATTTCAGTCTGAAAGGGGCCACAATATTTTAGTCAGTAGAGTGTTGGTCTAATCTTAACTTCAGGTGAAAATCTGAGGTGCGTTTTTTGACACTTTCTGCCTACAGCAGTTTGATGTTTCTCAGGAAGCTGACAAACAAATATTTACTGACATGGTTGTGTCCTTGTGCAAGACATTCAGTCATACTTGCTCTGGATGGCATGCAACACGCCTCCTGTATGTTGTTCAGTGAGGGTCCACCAGTGTCCACAAAGAGGCCTAGCCTCTAAATGACCCTCCAGGTCACAGGGTGATAAACCCAACAAACAAAACAAAGGAACAAGTAGTTCCAAATTCATTACACATTCCAATAACTAAAACAAAAACAATGTGCTAGATCTTAGCTTTATTTCATTGATGTAAGATATGTACATTGTATCTTATTTTCAAAATTGTGTTTTGTTTACTGTCTCCATATATTTCTGTGTTGACAGTCACTTCCACTTCCTAGGCAATATGTCAAGTTGGCATCGTAATTCAGACTTATAGCAGACAACACATTTTGTTAAAAAAAAACAACTTTTAGATATGTACACTGTTGTTCCCAGACAAATACATTGACTCAAAAATAAATGTGGATAACTATAGGTGATATGCACAATAGCTAGATAATGGTCTCTGTAGTGATGAATTCAATACAAAACTTGACATCTGTTACATGTTTTCCATTAACAAACAGCTTATTCTGACAGGTGTTCCTTTTTTCATGCTGATGCAGCAATAATGTGACATACAATACAATTTAAACTTAAATGTCTGTTTTCTCAGTTGTTATAATTCATTTTACTGCTTTATTACACTAATAACAAAATGTTTATTTTTCACACATGAATGATTACTGACCTATAATTAGAATCAGAAGTTTTAACTCTCTTTACCAGCATATCACACTCTGAAAAATTAAATACACTGTTTGAATATGTATGTACAGTATAAATTATGCTTTTGAATATGTATGTACAGTATAAATTATGCTAGTACATAAGATATCATACCATTCTTTTCTCCCTAATGAACACCCACACCATACACATTGATCTTGAATACTTATCTTTCACAAGTAATATTTTTATTTGGTAGAGTACATTGTAAATAAAAAAAATTGTTTAAAACACTATAATTCATGTTTCTTATATATATATGTGGAAGACTTAAAGAATATTTAACCTTTTCAGTGCTTTGGCAGGTTTGCTGTATGGTTACTTAGCAAACCTTCAGCCACTGGTATACGTAAATTCTATAGGTTTGACCTTCAACTGTATCTATATTCTGACATATCTAGTCGTCTGTCAGTCAAAGGTAAGTTTGCATATATCTTCTGACATACAGAAAACAAGGGTATATCTCCCTATCAAATTTTCCAAGTTCATCCCCCCAGCCCAAATTGCAACATATTGTTAATTTCTATTAGTGTAATTTTCCCTTAAATAGATGAAACAGGCTGTATTTACGCGATATTTTACCTATGACTGGTACTTAGTCAATTCATATCTCTGATGGTATTTCCTTGTCCTTAAGTCTTTTTAAGTGTCAGGATAAATATATTGATTCTGTTATTAAAACTTGCTATGAGAGATGGTTTTTTTTCAGCAATCCAACCATTTTGACTTTTACCTGAGATCTTCCATTTTTATCACTTTTTTTTGTAGCAATAAACCTCACAGATGTCATGTTAAATGTAAAAACTCCCTTTCAAACTTTATTACCAAAAATCCATATTGCACCTTATATAGGGGTATGCTATCCTCGATCATGTCCCTAAATATCATTAGCTATTATTCTGTCATTTATGGAATCCTGTAAAAAGCTGTGCAGGAAATATTTGACTTTTATCATGATTATAAATACATATATAATATTAATTTTATTGTGAAATTTTTGGAACATTTAATCTTGTACAATAAACTTCCCCCTACCATTTGAAAGGCAATGAATTGATGCAAAAATGTCTGGGAAAATATTATATTATGTTGCAATAATTACAACCTGTTTTCAGCAGCTATCTTAAGAAATATTTTCTTTTGTCCAGGGCACTGCTGTAGTACAGCTGATATCATTGTGTAGTCCCCTGGGGCTATACTACAAGTACATTACCTCCCAAGGAAGCAGTGAGGAAGTCATACTAAACCAACTTGGAGCTTTCATGTTTCTTGTGACTGTTTGCCTTATGATGTCAACCTTCTTGGAAATAGTAAGTTGCAGACAGATATTTATATCTAAAACTGATGTATGCTTTTTGTGAATTGCCTGATTGATTTAATTGTTGTAAAGACTGAAAATGAGATGAGATGGGACTTGGTGAAATATCACACTATGTTTAACCAACTAAGATCATGAATCAAACCTGGAGTCTTCAAAGTCACAGTCCACGTTTCTACCAACTAAGGCATGCACTGTCAGCAAATTTAGAGAAGCAATGATGTACAATCCATGATCCACTCCTTTTACACCACTTCCACAGCTTTTATTGATGTTTTCTAAATCTCAGTCTTAAGACTCTGTACTCCATGGAAACAGGTAACATCACTGATCTACCAAGTGTCTCGTCAGGGATTGAAGCAGTGCATGGTTAATACTGCACTACATAAAAAATCAAGTAGAAGTTGTCATCTCTATGAAAACTGAATGTAACAGCATTGATACAACTCAATAATTTTCCTCTGTGCAACCTTTTCCAGTTGATCACACAACCTGATTCTCATTTGACTTGGTAAAGTATTAAGAACAATGCACAGTCACAATTGAGAGCAGCTATAACTCTCTGTAGTGATTATTCATATCTTAACCAGCCAGATTTCCTAGGGCACATTTATTACTGAATTACTGCTCCAACATATCAATTCATTATTTTTTAATGCAGATGCCATTCCAGTATCCAGTTTAGTGACATATACCAGAGAAAAGGTTGTGCTGGCACAATATTCCAAGTAGTGTAACTGGCTGTGTAATACAGCTCCCAAATTTTGGAACTCTTCAATGTTTTTGATGTACTCCATTGCAGTAGTAGCTAATGAGCCTGTCACAAGCTTAAATTGATGCTATCATTTCAACATTACAGAACTTTAAACATTTTTCTTTATTTCTGTGACTTTATGCGAGTTGCTGAATACATATTCATCTTCAGAAATACAGCATACTCATAGAATAAGTCCTCTCTAAACATGACAGCCTGTGTTGAGATGTTGAGCCACCATGAGAAGTAGAAGTGAAGTTCAGTGACAAATTTGCCATGTATTTATTTGTTCATGATATAACTGCATTTGTCATTGGAATATTAACATTGCAACAATGTATCTTTATATGAACATACTAATGAACCACAGACTTGGGAGGAGCATTAACACCCATGGTCTCCAGCGTTATCATCCAAGTGACACAGACTGTATTGCTATTTTTACATCAATACAAAAAGTCTGAAAATAAATGAAAAAAAAACCATGGACATATGTATGTAACACTTTCCCTTCTGTAAGCACATCCTGGTTACTATAACAAAAGCATTCCATAGTTCATTAGACATCTGTAGTAGTTGAATCACGGTGAACATCTCTATATCTCATTAATTCAGTAGATACTTAGTTACAGTTTACCAACCTTGTGTTGTGAGTATTTTATCACCTACTTATTAAAAGTGTGTGGTTCTGTTTGCAACACAGATCAGCAGACATTGTGTTAACTTACTACATGATATCTTCCATAGATCCAGTGTGTGCAGGAGAGGAGTACAGATGGACTGTCCAGATCATTGCTGCTAGGTGGTCTGTCCTGTAGTGTTTGCTGGCTCATATATGGACTCATGCTTGAAGATTTCTACATCTATGTAAGTTAAGGTCTACACATCTCAGAAAATAATTTTTATTCTGATGTATACTATACTATGTTTATCTTAATCTCAATTTAACTTCTTACAACGTGGAATCAAATTAGTACACAAGTTTGGGTTTAACATCTTATGAATAGCAAAACAATGTACTTGATCTGTAGCATGCTGGCATTAATTTGTTGGATTAAATTATCATGAATTTTAATTAATAGTGTCAAATCATTTAGATTTACTGAAATATAGAGAAGTATTGAATGTTTGATCTTGTTTTAAGTCTTAGACACATTCATTGAATTTTAAAACTTGTAAAACAACTTTCTCTTACATTGTGATGGCCAAACATCAAATGACTGTTTTTAAGGAAGATCAGACCTGCCTTTCTTTGTGATACTAAATGAGTACTTTTGACTATAACTTTTATCTTTATCCAAGGTCAATTTGACTGTAGTAACCATCAGTTAAAACAGAACGTATTGCCAGATAAATATGGTAATGTGTTCTATGTTAATTGTACATTGTATATTGATATATCAAGTCTTAGTAATAATATAACAGCTGTATTTCATAAATCGTAATGTCTTTTAACATAATTTGTTTCAGGCACCAAATGTGATTGGTATTATTTCTGGTGTTTGGAAAGTTTTCCTCATATTTACATATGCAGGAAAGTCTCAGAAGAAAGATTGATCTAAAAGATGTGTGGAGAGCCTAGACAGGCAGTTCTTCTTATTTTTGTATACCAAATATATCACATTAGATTGTACACCCAGAGTAAAATGATTTACACAATATACCTTAGTAATTATATGTTTATTGCCTACGCGAAGTCATACTTCAATCCAGGACCACATTGAAGAATTGCTATTGAAGTATGTGATATTTACCTCTTGTATCCAACAAAGGGTATGGCCTACTTATTATATATTTACATGATGACAATGAATAGCTCAATAAAGACTGATCAACGGTAAATGTTGTTATCAAACCCAGGAACACTACGTGTCTTTTTGTGTGAAGATGCTTTACATATGTTAGTCTGTATATCAGGAAACTAAAAAATGTATTGTAGTCATTATTAACTCACCGGACTCGAAGGGCCAAGTGAGCTTATGCTGTTGCATGTCATCTGTTTGAATGTCCGCTTGTCCATCAGCCCGTCAGTAAGGTGTCAACTTTTCCATTTAAAGGACCTCTTTTGAATAGCCAGCAGACCAGATGTGGGTTGTAGGGATGGAGCCCAACAGAATTTGGAATAAAGTCTAACAATATGTGCCAAAATAATTTTAGAAAAGACCTTGAAAAGAAATGACCTTATAACCCATGTTGAAGGTCATAGGGTTCAAAGTTGTTCAGCCCTGTAAAAGACTTCTTCTGGTAAACCAAAGTCTGATAAGAAGGATATTTGATAGAAAGGTATGTCTTGGTCAAACCCCAACATATTTCAGGAAAAAAAAGAAAGGGTATTTTCCTATAATCCAGGTCATCTGTCATTGTTTAGAGTATAAAAAGCTGTTTGTTGTGGAAATTGGTTAAAATTGATTGGATGTGCTTGCTTTGAATGCCAATGGTGTACATGTTAATATATTTGTGATATAAGCACAGATTCTATTTTTGATATACAATGAATACCAGGTGAGCGTTGAAGGCCCATTTGGCCTGTTGTATTATATAGTTATCACTTACATCCTCATGTGGTCAAAGAAAGTTGATGCAATTTTGTCAAAGTATTTCTGACCTGTCACCAATGTATTGTTAACATGACATCAGGTTATTATAAAACTTAAATTTTTCTGGTACTCCATTAAAAGTGAAATATTTGTAACTGATAGTGATCATGCTGGTATGTTTTACTACTAGCTCATTTTTTAAGTATGGTTTACTGTAATGATTGTGAAACAATTTGCATTTTTTATTTACATTATTTAAAACATAATTAATATTGTTTGTTATAAAAAATTTAGTATAGATATTGTTTCGCAGTCGTTTATCATTTATATTTAAAATAGTTATGTTAAAAATGCTAGCCCACAAGACAAAAATTAATTGATTATTATGCATTTAGCTTCGTCAGAAAATGGAGATATGTTAAAAGCTGGACCAGTATACTTTAAACATGTGTTTTTGTAAGTTTTCATAAATGCTGTTTTTGCAACATCACTTTCATTCGAATAGTTCTGCTTGGAAAAAATATTTTGACAATAGATTTTTTATTGAAGTTTCTTTGAATATTTATCATGAACTGCCAGTACAGCAGAACCAATTTCATATTAAATAATATGGTTTTTATTAACAATAAGATCTAAATACATTATACTGCAGGGAATCATTGAAATTTTCTAGAAATTCTGGTAACAATGATATAGTAATAATGATTTATAAAGTACATCTGATGAGGTATGTTTTAATTCAACCTCATGCTCACATCAAAGAAAAACCATATTTTTTAATCTAATTTCTTTACGTGTGCCTTAAAAATATGTGATAATCAGGACCTTATTCTTTTACATGCACATTAATGATTGTGATCCTTTACATTGTATACTGAATGGATTTTATTGTTATTATAATCTTTATTATTATCATCATTTTCTGTACCAGTGCCAGAAGATGGTGCAGGGGAGTCCATTTATCATAAAGGGAGTATACCACACTTGGTAGGTAGTGCAGGAAAGTCAATATTGACAAAGGGAGAGTACCAGTAGGTGGTGCACGAAAGTCTATATTGTTAAATGGAGAGTACCAGTAGGTGGTGCAGGAAAGTCTATATTGATAAGGGGAGAGTACCAGTATGTGGTGCAGGAAAGTCGATATTGATGAAGGGAGAGTACCAGTAGGTGGTGCAGGAAAGTCTATATTGATAAGGGGAGAGTACCAGTAGGTGGTGCAGGAAAGTCTATATTGATGAAGGGAGAGTACCAGTAGGTGGTGCAGGAAAGTCGATATTGATAAAGGGAGAGTACCAGTAGGTGGTGCAGGAAAGTCGATATTGATAAAGGGAGAGTACCAGTAGGTGATACCAAAGAGTTTATATTGATAGAGGGAGAGTACCAGTAGGTAGTGCAGGAAAGTCTATATTGTTAAATGGAGAATCCCATTAGATGGTGTGGGAGAGTTTATATTTCATAAATACGTATACCAGTTGTTGGACACATGGGGATAAATTGTTTAGTGAAAATGTCATGATGATATACTTACCTGTGAAATACTTTCAAGACAATATTTCATCAATTTTTAGTCCTTCAACATTTTTATATCTTGACTTATTTCCTAGCCCCTCTGTTATTTGAACAGTGGTAGATTTCATTAGCAGGGCATTAAAAGTCAAAGCTTTGATTTGGATATTATAAAGTTTTCACTGAAGAGCTATGATAATGCTTTCAGATTATTGATGTGAGGTTATGATCCGTTTTGTTTATTGTCTATAGTGCTTTAATTCAGATGATTCTAGACATTCTAATCTTGAAAACTCATTTTCAATTATCTAAAAGAGAAAGTTACCATGTTTCAGAGGATCAATTCCCCCCCCCCCTCTTTTTTTTTTTAAAAGGTTTTCAAAAAATCACATATTCTGCTTCTGCGTCATTTGTAATAGCATATTTAAAGTAAGAGGGACATTTTTGTTTGATCATTGTAAAACATTGTTATAATGTGTATTCGTACTTGTACTCATATCTCGATGTTTCCAAATTTCAACTTCCATAGAAATTTCCTCTTGTGACAGAGGTAAATCACTTGTTTGTTTATCTCAGGATTTGCTTGAATATTTCCTGATAAGAATGAGACGCCAACCAAAGCTATATATTTTAAATGTAAAAATTGTTCAAAAAAAAAAATGTTCCCCATGACACATTTCTGTTAAATTGTTACAATATGTATACAGAATTACTATATTATTCATGTTTCTATATTTATGTATGTCTGTCAGCTGTTAACCAAGTCTTTCCAATTAAAGACCATATAAAGATGATCATGAGTTCTTGTGGTGTTGAGTTTCCTTTATATATATCTACGTCTTTCCAATGAAGGGCTTTTCATTTGCTTTATAATTTTCCTTACAGCTACAAGTGAGCACTGAACTCAAGCATGCAACTTCATTACATGCTGACTGTAAAAGTGAGGGTTTTCAAATTTTTGGATGAAAATTGTTCAAAGTAATAGTATTTGTCCCAGCCAGATTTGATCTATTTCATCAAGATTAAAAAAAAAACAATTTGACCCCTTTTGGCCCCACCCATCAGCTCCTGTGGGTCAGTCAGGATCAAAATGGGCAAACCATCCAACTTCATCCTTCACTCATAATTCTAACCAAGTTTGAAATATTTCCAATGGAAATTAAACAAATTATGCTCAAAAATCTAGTTTTCATATATAAACTATAGTAAAATTTACTCCCTTCTCAACGGGGAAATGTGAGACCCTGGGGCCATGCAATTCATAATTTTGGTAATGCACCTTAAGATAATTCCATTCATGAAGAGTATTTGATTCTACCATATCTAGGTCTTAAGAAGAAGATTTTTGAAATTGAAGTCAATTTGACCCTTTTTGGCCTTGCCCCTCAGGCCCCTGGGGGTTGGGACTGTATAATTCACAATTTTGGTTCACCTTAAGCCAGGGAAGGTTTCTGCAAAATTTCATTGACATCGGATAAGGGTGTTTTGAGAAGAAGTAAAAAATGTTGAATTATTAACAAACGCATGGCGCTGGATGAAAGTGATTAGAATAGGTCACCACGAGACTCGGGTGACCTAAAAAATATGAGTGTGTACTGATTACTATTTAGCCATGTTTCAAACTGTCGGAGAAGTTTTTGGAAAAAGATCAAGTACACAGGTAGATGGACCGGTAACCTGTTTGAAGTATACTCCTTAACATCATTGTGGGGAGTATAAACTATTAAACATCACTGACAGGATAAGGCACATCCTGACAGTTGCTCCACCCTATGCAGGAAAAAGACGTCACCCCCTCACATTACCAGAATCCTTGGCAAGGCTATACCTGGAAAAAGAAGAGTCATTTGCAAGGAGATTGCATTTGGAATTGAGACAAAGATTCTTAAAAGATTTCAGCCAACATCATTAAATGGTGGGCTATTCAAATCACCCAATGTATGATATCCATCATATAATGTCCATCTGGTGTCTGTCCTTGAACAAGACGTATTACATGGATCAATTTCAAGTAAGGTTTTCGAAGGCCCTTAATTGTGCATAGTCCCTTTGAGACTGATCAGAAAAAAAAAAAAAAAAAAATGACTAACAGGCAGCCATCTTGACTTTTCATTATGAAAAGTTTTCATTGCCATTTCTTGAGAAGCACAAAATGGATCTTTTTCAAATCTCTTTAGTGGGTTCCCCTTGGTCCCAAGTTGTGTCTTTTTAATTTTGGGACAATCAGAAAAACAAAATAGCTGATGGGTAACCATCTAGGATTTTAACCATGAAATAAAGTTCAATTTGCTCTTTCTAGGGAAGTACTGGATGAATCCTTTTAGATTTCACATTAGGTTCCTCTCGGTCTCTATGTGTACCCTTGGGATTTTGGGACTGATCAGAAAAACAAGATGACCGACACGCCCTCATCTTGGTTTTGACATTTTATGACTATTACCACAATGTATTTCTTAAAGGAATTTCCAAAAGATCAAACTTTTTAAGAGCAAATAAAGATAAAAAAAATGATGGGCAGCCATATACATCTGGGATCTCTTCTTAGTATATTTGACCCCAGTGACCATAATAGGTCTAGGCCATTTATATGATAAAACTTTATAACCCTCTATCTTGTGTCTGATGGACATTATCAATAACCTGAAATTTGAAAGCAAATTTCCACAACAAATCCTGAAATTCAACTATGATTTCACACAAATTTCAATAAACATCCATTATTAACAATTAGCTAGCTCAATTTTATTGCTGTGTCTTGAACTATTCCAACGAACATGGAGGATTCTTAAAGAAACACAGTAATGTACAAAATGTTCATTATACATGTACACAAAGCACCATATGATCAATCTCTTACATTCATCTGATTATGCATTCCTCTAAATCAGATACACACATTCTCAGCAAGCCATTTAATCACACCCCCTAATATACCCACCTCACATTATAATAATATAATGGTCTTCAATGATTGACAACAGCAAATATGTCTCCTGAAATTCAGTCTTAGTCTTCTATTTTCATATACAAAGAAACACATCCAAGATTCATGTGGCACTAATTCTATGGATGTTTAAGATTCTTTTGTTACACCAATGTCCCTAGACTTTTAAAAATGTTTTCAGCTGCAAGATAACTTTTTGACCATGTTAGAAGAATGAGTATTTTTTGTCTTCTTGAAGTCATAGTATACTGATTGTCAGCAATCCTGATGTTATAATCAAGTCTGATATAATGCTACCCGTTACATAATGTATCTTTATACATGTACCACCATACTCTTCCTCCACTGATCCCAAACACTACACTTAGCATTGTAACTCCTGTATCACAATCTTTGTTCTCTAGGATTCCACAGTACTGTCCAACTTATCCTTAGGAGTAAGGAAGTCGATAGCTGCACCCAATACAGTAAGCTTTCATTTCAACCATTACTCTGTGGACAACTATTGAGGACATATTGTTCCACAGACCAGATGTGAGGGCATGTCGTTCCACAGACCAGTAGTGAGGGCATGTCATTCCACAAACCCAATTGTGAGAGCCTGTTATCTTCCAGATTCAGAATGTGATGTTGTGGACACTCCTGACTGGCGAGCATGACGTAAACCCTGAAAAATCATGGATAATTAAACCATATGACTTGTCCTCAACATGACAGAAAAACTTACTAGGTATCCCTATCAAACTCATTTAAACCAACTTCAAAAACATTATCCACTTAGTACTGATGGATCCTTTTCAAGAAGACCAACTTTTACACTTTGAAAAAGGGTCAAGGTAACATCATCCCAGGAACCTACCAGTAAGATATTACTCTAAACGTTTTGGTCAACTAGAAGAAATCATCAGAGTGATGTAACAACTTTGACAAGTGGCCTTAAATATCAATAAAGGTGTTTTCCTCTTGCAAGACAAATGTTGTGATCCTTGGCTCGTCTGTTAATCAGAAGTTGTTCAAATACATCAACACATTTTACCTCTGTGATCTTCCATTTGCAAAGTTTGTTGAGCTTCATCCCAGGAACCCACCAGCCAAATAACATTATTTTAGGTGTTGTTGTTGGAGCGTTTAAACAAATCTATTTCATGTGACCCTGAATGTAGATCTTGGTCCTTTGTTTCAGTAAGTAAATATTATATAAAAAGTATATTGTTTACCTGGAAATATCCTGTATGATATCCACTCATATACCAGGACATGAGCATACTACAGAGGGCCTCATTGTCTCCCTCTATCAGGTTATCTCCGAGGGGTGGTGGGGGTGGGGGCACTGTCGGCAAACCCTGTAACATATAACACAATAATGTAACAAACCCATTGTCTGACTGCAAGATTTATCTTTATATATTTAGATTTATCAGGCCATCATATCATTACTATGTACAGTAATAGGACAATAATTCAAATAAATATTGTTGATCACTTTATGTAGCTGTGTGATAATATCTACATTGATGTTGTTTTCTTTGTGTATCACTTATAGTAGTCAGGGCTTCTTGTTTTTGAAAAAACAAATCCTTTCTAAATTTAGTCCAAATTTTCCATTTTTTCATGAGTTCTCTATTGCATATTAATTTATTTTGTTAGGTGATAACCCCACTACATCATGAAATTTGCAGCAATATATCATGATTATACAGTTACAAACTGAGTTTACAGATAAAACCAGCAACAGTATGTATAATCACGAAAATAACTGCAAATTTCAAAACACAATTATTTTGAATACTTTTGTTACAAAATGATACTAACAGTATAATAATTTATTTCGTCGTAGAATTTAGAATTAAGAGAAAATTTCAACATGTAGGGTTAACACAACAATTATTCAATGGAACTAAAAGGGCTGGTTAATGGATAACATAAAACTAGTATTTATAGGTTTGCATTGTTTGACATCTATAGAACAAAACTATTTTACCATAACTAATTGAATCAAATGGTTTATTCCAATAGTATAACAATAAGAGTTAAAAGAAAATAACAATGTAATGATTTATTAAGGAGTAAATTGCAAACATGTATTCCCATCATTATAATCACTGATATGGTACACGATTTAAATAACTCACAGCTGGATGGTGGAATCCACCAGGCGGGAACCCAGGATATGTTGGCATAGACGAAAACGGGAACTGTGGCTGAATAAAGGAATATCAAAATGTTCTTATAATATTGTCAAAATACACAAAGTAATAGTTAATGTTATTGTGTCAGTTGGTTTCTATCAGTAGCTGACAAATAGTTTTAGAAATATTACACAAGTAATTTATGAAAATAAAAAAAATTGGTTTATACTTAACACCACATAGAGTGATAAAACAATCAAAAGGATGATATACATCTAAAAAAGCATTTATTGAAATGTTCTTTTAGCAAAGAAATATATCAATTAACGGGTAAGACTTTTTGTATTGACTGTTCAGAACATGGATTTGAGATTTGTAGATTTGGAGGATGGCTCGTAATGGAAACAAAGCTTGAGAAGATGAAAAAGTCACACCCCCTTTTAACAACTTTACATATGAGTTATACAGTTCAACTTCGTTAACTCGAACTTGTATAACTCGAAAACCCTGATCAATTCGAAGCATTTCGTCGATCCCTGCCTAACTTTACATAAAACATTCAAACTCACTTTAATTGACTACTCTGTTATCTCAAGAGTTTTCCAATGGTCCCCCAGAGTTTGAGATCATGAGGTTCAAAGGTTCTTGGATGGGTAAAATAAAAGCAAAGATTCAAATATAGAGTGGAAAAGGATTTGTCATACAGACACTGTATACACTGTATAGAAGTGTTAGTCTACCACAGCATCCTTTGTGATCATGCCACACTGCACAAAAATGATCCTATACACTGATTAAATGTAACTTTTCAGAGTCAATCGCATCAAAGTAAAATTTGATTTATTCAACTCACTGGTGCCATTCCTTGAAATGGTAGGAACATAGAAGCTTCAGGCCAGGAAAAGGCATTACTTGGTGTTGAACTTGACTGCCCAGCCTTATGACTTCTCCGATTTGACCTTGGTGGTGCTGGACTTGGTCGATCACTCCAGTCCATACTATCAGTCTACAATCACAGTCGATGAAATATATCTTTTACTTCATATAATTTTTGTTAATATTTTTGTTTTGTTTGCCTTTGTGATAACTATATATATATATATTGATGTCCATGTAAGGACACATGTTCTCATTATTGTATAACAAATAAGGCCAGATAACACATCTGAAAAGTTGGATAACACAATTAGATGACAGATAGCTTATGATATGCTCAAGGCAAGGAAAACACTGAATACAATGTATTAAGTAAGCACAAATAATCATCCACACAACAAATAGCAAACTGTACATTGGATACTGTAAATTAACATATCTAAGCATTTTTCATAACGAAAGTAATGAGCTAAATATATTGCCCTAATTGTGATTTCTTTGTGTTTTTTATATAGAAACTAATGTGAATGTACAAATTCTTCATTAATAGCCAAGTGATAATTCACACCAAATAAAGTACAGCTACAGTCAGCATGATGCTGACCAAAAGGACAAAATTTACCAGGGTATATATAAATGATATTAAGTAAGAAATGTACCAAATAAAAATTAATCAAAGAATACTGACAATACCTCCACATCAGACACAAGTTTCTGCTTGCGCAGTCTTCCTGTCGGCAAGAGAAGATCTGACAAATTGTGTTCTTCTTCATTTCCATAACCTTTATAACGTACAAAACATGTGGATGTCTCTTCATCAACAGATAAGATATCTGCATCATATATCAGACCATCTTCTGAAAACACAGCTCTGCACTGGTCACCAGGACTCCACTGAAAACAAACAGACATTGTGTGATATGTACCGATCATCTACCATTTTTCTCTAAGCAATAATAAATAATATATAAATATAATATATATAGCATTAATATGCACAGAAAATAGACAATAATTCTGATCCTCTGATCACAACATAACATTTGCTCAAGCATGCATGTCGAACATCCTTAACAAGTAATAATTCTAGAGGCTTATACATATATCATGTCTTTGCTGTCAAACAAAGTTTGATGAATGGATTATGTGAACATAGCAGTACACATAATTTATATCAGAACTGTTACTTTATTTCACCATCATAAAATTTTATATTGGGAATTGGTTTTGATGTATGGCGCCCCCTCCTCCCTTTTAGGCACTTGGGCCTTCTTTTCATACTATACATGTATTAGATTTCCAGTACATGGATTTTTTCCAAGTAGGTGTAATTATTTATCAAATGTAAATAAGAGTACCACTTTTAATTTTTAACATCAACTACAGTAAATTTTATTTCCTCTCAATGCCAAAATGGCAGACATGTAGAAAACCATTTATGATAAAGTAACTTAAAATTATTATTTTTTCAAATTTCACTTTTAATCCTTTCTTTCAGGGCTTTTTGTGAAGGTACTAAATACAAGACCATTAAATCTCTCTGTAATATTACATTCACTATTATTTTATCTGAAAACTTAACCTCATGTGACCTATAAGTGTTCTTTTAGAAATTGATTGAAGCTAAAAGAATTTGATTAATCAAACTGAATCTCAAAAAGCACAATTACTTATAAACAATGTGGCTAGAAACTGCATTAGAATTAATCATATTGGCATAAAATTGTAAGATACATTCTTGTCCACAAGCAAATGGTCAAATATAAGAAAAATGTAATGAACTTGCTACAATCAAAGACAGGTTACTTGGCAGGCCAGTGTTTGTGAAATATCATCACCATACATGATGTATATGTACCTTCCTTTTCTTGTTTTTACTTCGCTTTTTCTTATTTTTCTTTTTCTTCTTCTGTTGGAAAGTTTCCTCGACAACCTCTTCTTTGCCATTTTCAGTTTTGATTTTTGACTGAAAAAATACATCAAAATAAGGCCTTATCTTTACTCAACCCCAGCTATTTCATTGAAATTATGAATTAAATTGAATGGTGAAGAGAAAGTCATTTCCCTACATATACGAGCAGTATTAACTAGAACTAAAAACTCACCTTTTCAGCTTCATATTTACACAATCATATTTTATTGATGCTGGCTTGTTTACAACATATATATAATAGTTTCATAACAGTACTCTGAATTATTTTTTAAAAGCAATGAAATACTGATATTTAAATCCACTGAATGATAAAGATAGTAGTGACAATTTTATATGAGGTTAAAATGTATTTAATTCCAGCATATAACTTAAAACAATTGATCACACGTTTCCTCTTAACAGGTCGTAATTGATAGTATGACCAGAAATTCTGAATATTTATAAATCATAACCTACCTTCATTAACTTAACTGCATTATCATAGGCCTTTATGAGTGCTGTGTCATCCCATAATTCATTGTCACTACCAGACCCTGTCTGGAAGCAAAATTAAATTACACATATTTATAATAACAGTTTCAAATGACATTTTATCTAAAGAGAATCACTTATTCAATCAGTATTAAAACTAACTGACATCAGGCCCTCCTCCAGAACGTGTAAGTAGATCTTCAGAGTCATGTAACAATGTTTATGAGGGAGATGGCTTGTGTAGTATACTGTTACATGCCCTTGTCACTATATTGAGTTTGGATCAGATTAATGCACTAGTTATAGCCTTTCTTGGTAATACTGCAGTCAGTGGACAGAAATCACTTCATTTTATAAAGGCCAAAAAATAGAAACTGGAGTCAGTGCTTAGACTTGAATCACGTTCTACCAATTACATTTTTCCCTTCCTACTACATTTAGTATCCAGTAAATATTAATGTCAGTTGGACCAAAATAGAGTCAGTCGAACTTGAACCTACTGATCTGATCTGTAAGGCTACGATAAATACTTCTGGGGTTTATGTGAAGATGTACAGGCAATGAAAACTTACATTAAAACATGCTTGTTTCCAGCAATGAACTGGTCCCTGATATTACTGTAGCATTTGTGTTGTTAAAGTCTAACTTCACACAAAGGTTTTTAAATGTATGTCTGTTTATAACTGTACTTTAGATAACTTTGTTTTAAATACTTGTTTTTTCACAAGTATAGCTCTTCAGTGCTAATGTGTATTCCATCTTTCAGTAAGTATTCTTGTACATGTGATATCATTTTCCATCTCCTTATATGTCCAGGTATAAAGAACATTAGCCAACCTTTCTCCTGCATCGAGATCTTCTTGTAACTTGTGTGCATCTACCACATTGTTTTAGGTTTTGTAACTGATGCTGTCATCTGTGAATAATCTCATCAGGGCACTATGTTTGATGTACTATGGGAAGTTGTTTACGTATGTGAAGGAAAGTATGGGGCCCAAACAGATTCCTTGAGGTAATCCAGATGTTAATGGGATTTTATCAGATTGGTTCCCTTCAAGTACTTCAGTTTTGGTGCAGTGTGCTGAGAAGTCTGTAATTTTTTCTACAGAAGAACAGTTTGCATTGCATGTTTGTTTCTGTACTTCTGCTTTTTGTTTTCTAGTACTTATTTGTAAGTTTGTGATTTGAGCGACAATTGGAGTGAAGGCTTCCTGGTGGTTGATGAGGTTGCAGAGGGGAGTCAAGGGCTGGAAAGTTTTCAGATGGACTGCTAAAATTTGAAAATTTGTTAGATGTTTTTACTGGTTTGTGTGTGTAATATTGGCTATCTACATAAAACCAGGTACTGCAAGAGTCACAACATATAGCTTTGTATTTCAATGTGACAGCCTTCTTACATACACCTATAAGGGAACTGATATAGCAATGCTAGACTGGTTGAGACTCTATATATAGTTATGGGTATAGGACCCAGCTAGGGAGGTTTTATACTGCAAGACCAGAGTAATCCTTGATACAGATACATGTACATGGCAAATAGACCCTGTTAGGGCAAGGGCTAAACCTTGTATGTATAGGTAGCTCAGCATAGAGTTAGTCTATATGGAGACAGAAAATTAGTGTGCTGGAGTGTGTTACTATTATACTATCTATAACCATAGCTATTGTACTTGTACAATGTTGATGGATTAATTTAACAAAATTTGAAACTATGTCGGCATGTTGGTTTTCATTCAACCAGGATATGTTGTTTTCGACTCGCAGACCCTCATTTAATTTTGTTACAGGCCTTGTGTGTTGTTCATTGTCCTAACAACTGGACATCATTCAGACAGTTATGAGTCTGAACAGCTTTGTTTGACATGTTTTAGCATACATTTTACATGCATGGTACAAGTAAAGTTCTGAAATCCACATTTGAATAGATGTTATAGAGGAACAAAACCAATACCCAATCTGATATCAATCAATTTAGAGGAAATGTCATTTATATATACGCTTTGTTTTCGTACACATACGTATCAAATACGTTTCCTCGATTCTCAATAATTTAGAATCTACCGAACTTAAGTGGGCCATGGGAAACTTGTATTTGGAAAGTAAACAACCCAAGTAAAACATCAGAGTCCATAGAACATCACATGTGTTGACGTATAGTAACTATGAATGTTTACTCTGGTTGTTTACGTTCCAGATACACGTGCCTATCAATGGGCTTAATCTGCAGTACTATTCTAACTTCAATGACTGAAAAGAACATGTCAGGTCAAATACCAATAGCATTTCCAGATAAATATGTTTATTTATAGTATGGTTAATTCGATGTGCATACTGAAATACACACTACAAATTCAAATCAGTATCCTTCGAATAACATACCTGTCCTTTCTGAAATAAAACTGTGCCAACACCGGAGGTAGCCATCTTTCGGTTTACATCGAATGATGGCTGTTATAGATGCAATGATTGGGTAGTAAATTCTCCGTAGACCAATCAAAAATGATCTTATATAGAAGTGCTCTTTCGTCCTGGAGGTGCAAAGTTATCATCGGTATTGTGAATGTGGAAGCGTTTCATCAAAATTAGGAAACTTCCTTAACAATTTTAGCCTATTATTGAGATTTATTTGAAAATGATTAAGTGAAAATATGATTTTTGTGATGATGTATTCAAGTTATCTGAGGGTGCTTTGGACACATCACAACTGACAAGAAGACAAATCGGTCTGAAAAGCATTGTTAAGTTTGTTGGTCTTGCACACGTGTTGCCGAACGTGGACTATGGTCATTGCATATTAAAACCTTTACTAACTCTTATTTTACGGCAAAATGGCTGGACAAAGCAACCAGCAGTTCTCTGGTCTGGGTTACACCAGCACTAGCTACAAAGACAAAATGAAACAAATGAGTGAGCAAGAGAGAATGATTGAAGAGAAGAAAAGAAAAATACTGGAAAAGTTCAAGACGGAGACGAAGCCAGCTACAACACCATCGCCTGCATCAGTGGGGATGCCATTGTATGTTTAGGGATATATTTTTATGTTAGAGTTGTCAAAGTACTACATCTCTTGCACTGTTTTCTTTCCTACATGACTATCAAAAATCTTTCTGAACCAGAACACCATAAAGCTTGCATTATACACCAGACTATCAAGTGTTTTGCTCACAAATACCTAACCACATAATCAAATTTGCCAATATTTGCATATATCAGGTTGGGTCCAAACCCCACATATGGGTAATTAACTAATAGATTCACTGATTGTTCAAAGCACTAACCCTCGACTGCAGGGTCATTTTGAAGTAGAAACATAAATTTCTTTTGAAATACACCAGAAAATGTGTCTTATTTTTAACATGACATAATATCCAATGTGACAATGTATATAATTGCATAAAAATATTATTTAACTTTGTGTTCAAATAACATTATATATCACTGACATTGTTTCCGTTGACTAAAGTGTATAGTCAATGGGAGCATTATAATGCAAAAGTCATGTGTGAGCATGTATTTACAGGTGTTCTATTTCTATTTACAACATAATCAATTGCATTGTTTAGCAGTGGTGGTGGTAAAAGTTTTATTACAAAAATCGAGACTCTGAATTATTCATATTTTGTGTAAAAATGTACAATGTTGCTTTGGTGATTGGGCCATGTAAAAAATATGACCCTGTTTTTGTTGCAAATGTTTAATAGAACTTTGTGTGTTTCTATTTCAAAATGACCATGCATTCAAGTCATTAACTGTGGCAGTATTTTTTCTACACATCAAAGGAATTAACATGAATTTAATATCATGCATATTATTAACAGAAATGTTTACAAAAATTCCTTCTTTTCCATTCTCGGCAAAAGTACAAATTTAATCTGCTTCAGGATTCCTTCACCACGAAGAAAATACTGGAGAACTCAAAGAGTGGCCTTTACAAAATTTCTTTATAGTCCTTTAATTATTGCTTAGCACCACTGGAGGGATTTACACAACACTATATCTTTAGGCTCATATTCCTAATATCTGCTTTACCTCACTTAATATCGCTACCACTGTGCAGTAATTCTTGTTTTCCCAATAGCTATCCAACAAAAAGCTGAAGATTTCAATTTCCATTCTCACTTTTTTGTGTGCATGTAAATTTCAATCCTTTACACACTACAATATATTCACTCCTTTCATTGAACTGCAGCATATTTCATCATCAACAATGTTTTATGTAATTCACCTTTATGAAAAATCAGGAGAATTTTTGATGACGGTCATTTTAAACATTACACCACAAGTGGTTGTTGTTGTTTATGGCTTTTGTTTCTTTCAGAAAACACAAATATTTACAATGAACTCTATCTATAAATTGATAGACATCTATATATATCTACATATTTATGCCTTACAGACATTTGCTAGTTTTAACAAGAATTGTTATGGTTAATTGATGTCTTGGGAGTTCATATGGATGAAAGCTTATTTAGTCCCCACCTACTTGTAGTCCATTTAAATATTTTCTTCCTTGAATGATGTTAAGTGAGAAGGACACAGATTTGGTAGTAAATTAATTTCTGATACTTACAATGAATAGGTCATTTTCAAAAGTTAAGAAATGTATACTACTGTAGTTCATTTAAAAATACAATGCATTGTGCATGTACTTCCTTTTTATTGACTTTGATTTGTAAATGTTTTCCAAAAATAACTTACTTGTCCCTAAAACAGTACTTCACAAAAAAACATACCAAATTAAATATTGTGTTTTCTTAAGTATTAGATATTTGGATTCTATGTTCTTGAAAACTCCAAGCTTGGTATTGTGTTGGATCATATTTTTCTTTAATATTTTGTAGAATTGGAAAGCGTCCGGGGTTCAAACCATCCAGTTTTAGCAGCAAAAAACCTAAAACTACGGAGACAACAACAGTTAACTCCTCTCCAATTACGTCAGCCCATAGCTTCTTCGCAAATGATGGAAATTTCATGGAGAGATTCATCAATATGAAAGGGTCAAAAGGACAAGGTACTTCAGTAATTATTGATAAAAGAATTATAGCACTGGTATTTGGTTAAAGTATAGGCTTGAGGGAAACATCAAATTCCTTGTTTCCCAAGGTCGGGTCAACTTCTCAAAGCAAAACCATTTTATTGTATCAATACAAACTGGAGAGATATTTCTAATGAGAAAATTTTGTACAAGCTATATTGATGCACCAACGACGGAATCAAATACAAAGTGTACCCAAAGAAGCAAAATCGGAAAGTATTGTGTTCAAATTGTAGACACCTTTAGAAACCAACATGTGCATTTTGTCAGTGTATTTGGTAATAAGCTCTGTTCAGCTTGACCCTGATTGCCTTGGCGGAAACGTCAAGTGCAGGTGTGTTTTAGTTCTTGGACTAAAACAAAGCTTGGAAAAGTTGGGCTTAGTAGGGATTTAATCATTTACCAGTTACTTTAACATTTGTGAAGACGATAAGGTGGAGGTATATTAAATGTAATTATGAATTGCTAAATAAGTTCAAATTTGAGTTGGTTAAAAGTTTCAAAAGTTTGAAGTACATTAACTCCACACCATGAAAAGCATTCTCAAGTATATCATGTATTGTCAATAGCAAATCTCAACATCTTAGGACAGAAGCATTGTAACTTGTAGTAGTAAATGATTGTAACAGAATAATTGCCCTGAGATAACTATGTTACAACCTAATGGTCCCTACATAACAATTTTATAATCTCATGGTCTTAAACAACAGTTTTACAAGCTTATGGTCCTAAAACAACAGTTTTACAAGCTTATGGTCTTAATCAACAGTTTTACAAGCTTGTGGTCTTAAACAACAGTTTTACAAGCTTATGGTCCTAAAACAACAGTTTTACAAGTTATGGTCCTAAAACAACAGTTTTACAAGCTTATGGTCCTAAAACAACAGTTTTACAAGCTTATGGTCTTAATCAACAGTTTTACAAGCTTGTGGTCTTAAACAACAGTTTTACAAGCTTATGGTCCTAAAACAACAGTTTTACAAGTTATGGTCCTAAAACAACAGTTTTACAAGCTTATGGTCCTAAACCAACAGTTTTACAATCTCATGGTCCAAAGCAAAGGAACATGTTGTAATGTGTTTCTCAAGGAAGGAAGTGTTACAATCTTATGGTTTTAAGCTGGCAATGTTAAATTCTTGTTGTATGACAGCAGTGTCCCTGTTTTGTGGTCCAAAGACAGCAGTGTTACTATCTTGTGAACCTAAGACAACAAGGCTTAAAATCTTCTTGTCAATTTCTCAGGACCACATTGTCAGAATTCATCAAAATTGGAATTGAAGTATATTTATGAAAAAAGAATTTTCTACATCCATGTCGTTATTTTGTAGCTTTGTCAAATAGAAAACATTTAAATAAGATTCTGAAAATAATTGTTTTTATTTTCTAGCATCTGCTGGTGCAAAGACAAAGTCAACAGATATTACCAAATCTACTGACTCTAAAATTGATTCCAGTTCAGCCCCAACTATGTCAGGAACACAAGACATTGAATCAGTGAAAGCTAGGACTGAAACTAAGTCATTAACAGACACAAGTGTCAAAATTGAAAACACTCCGATAAAGAATGAGCCTAGCATTTGGGCACAAACATCACCAAAATCTGAGACTTCTAGCATCAATCAAGGACAGTGGGCAACAACAAATGTCAAAACAGAATCCAGTGGTCTTTCTGTAGGTAACTGGAGTCAAGCAGGGAAGTCAGAGACAGGGCAAATGCCTCCACGACCACACAATCAAAGTGCTAATATACAAGGACCAGAATTCAATCCAAACTTTAGTACATCTGTGACTTTCCCAACACAGCCTCGACCTCCGGCTCCTCCAATGTTACCAGCACAACAGAACATTGCTGGTCCTCTTCACCGGATGCCGGTTGAAACACAGAATGGAGCTGCTCCATATAGACCACCTCTTGGTCCTCCTGTTGGCCCACCTTCATCTGTCTCTAGTCCTTTTCCCCCTAATTCAGTCGCAAATTCCTTCCCTCCTCAACCTCCTCAGCCAATGCCACCTCAGCACCTTCAAATGCCACAGGTCACTTTGGCTCCTCCACCTCAGATATATGGCACATCACATCAAGTGGTCCGGGCTCCACCACCCCCTCAGCCACCAATGATTAGACCTGGTCCTCAGCCTCCATCCCTTGTAACACAGCAAGTCCATCCTGGTCCACCGCCTCCTGGGCCTGCTATGTATGCTGTGGCAAGGCAGCAGCCTCCACATCCGCAGGAAGTGACTGCTTATGGAACAGTGCAGCCCCCTCCCAGTCATTCCCATCCCCAAGGTATAAATGAATATGGATCACCAATCCAGCAACCTCCTCAACCTAGACAGCCCTACCCTCCTCCTCCACCACCCCAGCCCCCAGCTCAGGAAATCAATTCCTATGGACAGCCTTTACGACAACCTCATCCTCCAGAAGTAAATGTGTACAGCACAGCTCCAACCAGAGCACCACCTCCTCCCCCACAAACCCAATACCCTGGTGCCCCTCCACCAGTTTCACACCCTCAGTCCCAGCCCCCACCCCCTCATCCCTTCATGAGTCAGCCTCATTTAGCTCCTCATCATCCACTAATGCCTGGTCAACCCCCATCTTGCCCACCTGGTAGGCCTCCAAATATGCCCCCACATACAAGTATGCCAAGTCAGGCCCCACCTCATCCTCCTGGTGCTCTACCGATGCATCAACATCCTCCACAGACTCAGAGTTTTGGTCCTCCAGGACAAAACCTACCACCACCTCCAGGGATTGACATGTTTCCATCTGCTCCTGCTCCTCCACCTCCTGTCAGTGAACAACGACACCAGCAACAGTCATCGGAGAGTGAATATGACCCTTCAGTGCCAACGGAATCTGAATCACCAGGTTTGATTGAAAAATTTTGACTTAAACTAAAATACACCTTATATGTATATTGTGTATATATATATTTATTGATGTTGATTTAAATCATGGTTAGATTGTTCAAGCATTGTTTTTCATATAAAGATGAAGAGTTTGATCCATGTATGTATCTATATTTCAGTAAAGCCAAATTTTGAAATGAAGAATGATGATTCCTCACCACTTAGGTTAGTGTTGGTTTTTTTTTTCTAAAATTCATTTCTGAAATATTTTTCATCTGTGTTGATTTTGCAAATCTTCCGAGGTCATTTTAACTACTACTGGGTAACAGAATTTCATATTGTGACACTACAGACTTAATCCTTTAAATTTTCAAGGTTACAAAAAATATCATTGTTACTTTAAACTATAGCCGACTTTGATTTTTAATTGCCTCAAAGCTTCACATATTCATTGTTCAAATACATAACTAGCAGAAAGAGGATTATTGCTTTGATGAACAGTGGTAGGGTTGAGATATGAAAAGTATTTTTTTATATACTTTTTATGTATTGGTTTTATTTTTTGTAGGCAACCAACACAGAGAATTAAAATGAGTGATGTGTTTGATGTACCAGACCATGAAAACTCATCAATGAAAAGAGAGAATGAAGGTATTTTACTGCCAATGAAATTACATAGCTGGTTTAATCACTGTGCTCATCAACAGTAAATATATCTCTGAAGGCAGACAAGGAAAAAAAAGTTCTTGTGTTAGGGTTAACAACAGTCAAGGTTACCTTAGATTGAAAATAATTAGCGTAATGATATTTCAGTATGATATTTGCATTTAGGGCAATTCCAAGGTCTTCATGGGGTTACACTATTGTGCAACAAGCTTTTGAAATTTGTATGTACCATAGGAATGTACTAGGGCTGCAATATCCTATGTTTTGTATGCATTGATGTTTATGTTGATGAAAGGCTGTAGTCAAATGACTTTGTGTTAGAAGGAAAACATTAGGTTTCTCAAGTACAAATTTATTGATTCTGATACCAACAAAGGTTAAACCCAAGAGAATTCGATACTGATAAGCTGCTTCTAGTTTATCCACCAGAGGACACACACACACGAGAAACTATTGAAAGATTTGCAGCCCAAGTAGCAGAGAATGGTTCCGAGTTTGAAGGGAGAACCATGTGTGAAAATGTCAACAATCCTTCTTATTGGTAGGTATCAGACTCACAATATTGATTTACTTTTATTTCCCTGCCATTTTATCAGAGGGGGAGATATAGGGTTTTCCATCTGTGTCAGTCTTTCATATCATGTTCCTTTTTTATCAATTTAAAGTCTTTAAAATCTCTCAAATGATTTGGTTCATATTTAATCCATTATATTAAACTGCGGTATTTTACTTCAGTATCAAGTTTACACCTGATCATATTTTGGTTTGCATAGAAGTTTGGACATTCATGTCTTATTGACTTTTTCTAGTTAATATTTGAATTCATAGTGAAACTTATAGTAAGTACCATTCGTCGTATGTTGATACATTAAGTTTGAAGGTAATATAGTACATGTACCTGTTTTATGTGAATGTAGAATGAAATTTGCAGGTAAGCAGAATTTAAATTTATCACATTTAAAACTGGCACAGCACTGAAGTTGAGGGTGCTTGATAAGCAGAATTCGAAAAATGACCTTTGCATGTATTTATGTTGTCAGGTTTCTGTTCAACCAAAGCAGTGATGCGTACAAGTACTTCCGTCAGCAGGTGCGAAAACTTAGCAGATCCATGGGACGACTGGATGATGGTAATGAGGGAGACACTGAGGATACTGAAGGTGATTTTATTTATTCAACATGCATGGTATCTAAGGAAATTTACCTTACTAGTCTTCAAGAGTAATAATGGTGCAAACTCTAAGTCATCGTTCATCATGAAAAATCTATTATCAAGCAAGCTGAGAAAGATGTTGACTTCCATCTAGTTCAGTATATGATCCATCAGACCTGATCATTACTTTCAAAACACTGAATGATACCATTGTTACAGGCAGTGAAAGCTGATATAGATTAGCTGCCAAATCATTTCCTTGGACACTGCCTGATAAATGTTGTACTAACAGTAGTCACTATGACTATTACTATAACTTCAATGAATATTTTTCTCAGGAATAGTAGTTTTTAGAATTTAGCATCATTGATCAGATGTTATGTGATAATCTCTGAGACTCCTGTATCTGTATTTGTGATTTTGTTCAATTTAATCTGATCCCAGGGATGGAGAAGAGAGGAGAAAAAGTCAGGAAGAAACGGAAGAGTAGATGGGCTGACACAGATAATGAAACTGATGGAGCGGGTCAGTCTTTACAGGATGCTTCAGGGGCAGGTGAGAACTGGTACACAAATTCATGAAGTTGATTTGATGCATAGGGACAATATTTTGATTCAAGATACTATTTCTTCTTATTGCTTGGATAGATTTCAACCCAATTTGATCTGAATCATTATTGCAGATGGGTTATCATTTCTTAAGTGAAGAAAATTGATTTGACACCTGGGGATGGGGCTTAAAATAGGAAAGTTAGTCAATGATTTTGCTTCAAAACACTATTCTTCCTTAATGCTTGAATCGATTGATACTAAATGTGGTCTGAAACATCATCATGGGAATTCATCAGATTTGTCAGACCAACATCTGCAAATTGTATGATTTGTTCATCCATTCATTGATTGTCAGATGACAGTGGAGGGCCATGGCCCTCTTGTTTTTCTTCTTTACTCTGAAAACAAACTTCTGTTTGACAGTGATTGGTTTTTCTTTGCTGATCTAAAATACAAAATTTATATGAAATGTCTGGATAAAACATATTATTATGTAGCAGTTGGTAGTACAGCTTTGGTACTCATGCCACCATTAATCCTGTAATTATCTGCTGTCCTGTATAAACATGTGGATGTGAGTAAAGCCATAACCTAACATTGAATGCACAGGTGTGTGACACAGGTAGTGTGTGTGACACCAGTTCAATGAATAGAGGAGTAAATACAATGCACAGGAACAGGGATAAAATGAAGTTTGAGGCATGTGGGGATATTAGTGGAATAAAGGTTTTAGGAGTCTGAGGTTCAGAACAAGGAATATATAAAACCATGATTGGTACTCAGCTATAAGATTGATGATTAGAGGTTTTCAAGAAATGTAGGTCTTAGAAAGAGGAATTTTACTGTAGATATGATAGAAGATAGGGTTGGAGGATTCCCTCTCAAGTAGGACCAGCTGGGAGCTGCTATTATATATGATAGGTGAGCTGATATACATAGGTATGATAGAGAATAGGGTTTGAGGATTCCCATCTATGCAGGATTTGTTGGGAGCTGATATGTATAGATATGATAGAGGATAGAATATGGAGGATTCTGCTCCAGGCAAAACCAAGTGAGAGCTGATACATAAAAGTATGACAGGGGATAGGATTAGAGAATTCCCTTCCAAGCAGGACAAAGGTGGACTTCATTTTTGTCAGTTTCATCAGTAGTATCAAGGTATTTCCTTAATGAAAGAAGGACATGCCTACAGAGCTTTCCGACATGCCATGAAAAAGTGTTTCACATTTGAATTAACATGTACAGTTCTGTCCTGATTTTTGCCTGAAATGTTTCATGTATAATGTTGACAGGACCATCAAAACAGCAACCTCCACCTCAGGTTACACTTCAAGACTTTGCCAGAAAAATGGTTGGTAGTGATACTCTCAATGAAGACCAGATTCAGCAAATAAAAGAACAGCAGGAGGTTTGTATTCTAAATGACAAAGATTGTTTATATGAAAAAGATTCATCATCATATTAATTGGAAAAGTTTGTTTATACACAAGAAAAACTGTTGTACTGATGTACACACCTATTTTTTTTTATCCTACCGTTTTTTTTTGTCTATGTAAATCAAAAACCTATTTTACAAGGAAAAAAGGTGCAGCTTATAATCTGGAAATAAGGTTGATATGAACTTAAATGTAATCCATTGAGAGATGCAAATCAATACATGTTCAATGTACAGTGGAACTTTCTACTGTTGTATCAGTTTAAGAAAACTTTGTATAGCTGTTAAATTCTCTGGGGTCAAAAGGTTTGTGACGTTCTTTTAAAACAATTACATTCTATTGATTTAAATTTTGCATTTGGAATGTTTAAGGGATATATCATACGCTTTTGTCTCATTTCACAAACTAAATTTTCACCATCACTTCAAAATGCCGCTTAATTGCGTAAAAAATTCATGAACATGACGTACCAGTTGATAATTGAATCAGAAATAAGTGATATTTGTTCTATTTCAGTTGAACATGATGTACCAGCTGATTTTAGCTCAGAAAAAAGCCAAAGAAGCTGCTGTAATGGCTGAGCTGCCTGGGATGAAGGCAAGTCAAAAGTACGAGTATGACTCCGATGAGGATACGGAGGGAGGCACATGGGAACACAAAAAACGCTCCGAAGAAATGTTAGCCACCAAAGGTACATAACACCATATTACATAAATATCTAGAGTCTTGTATGGAGAATTTCCATTCTGTGCCATGTTTTTAAAAAAAAGAAACACCTGTTAAGATATATGATACTTAAATGTTGAAAAGGAAATAAATTGCATATGGATTCGGTAACAAAGAATTGAATTCAGATTCTCGTTGTGCTAACAACAATGAATAGTAAAAGTTTATCTTCATATATGTGAATGTAAATGATTTCTTTTCACCTGATTCAAGTTAGTACCTAAATACGGATATTATAAATGTTATTACAAATAGCAGTGAACCCTCAGCTAATTGTGATATATGTTTGTATAGAATGGGCGGATTCTCTGACTGAAGCAAATAGAGGAAAGCATTTCATTGGTGACTTCTTGCCCCCAGAGGAACTTGAACGCTTCATGGAGACTTACAGAGTATGATACTTTACATTCACTTCCCCAAACACATGGGTTTTCACTATATACTATGTTTTCCTTGCATAGAAAACATCTCATGCTCATCTGTCCAAGCTTACGAAACTTGTTTTGTGATTGTTGTAAAATTGACAAAGTTGAATTTTGATAGAAGACATCTTTTTGTTTTGATTGGTTGTGGTGAATATAATGATGATAATGATAACATAACTAGTTCTTTATATAGTTTAGGATTCCTATTTCATTTGTGGTTGGGTAACATTTTGAGACAGCAACCATCTGAACATGACATTTGATAGGTCCAAGTAGATAAAAAACATGGTATTTTCTATATGTTTAAATTTCAGTTCATATTGACCATTTTCAAAGGGGAAGATTGTTCATTGCTTTCATTTGAAGATCATAATAAATGTTAACACAGTGCAAAGTGACATTAATTGAAATCTCCACCATCTCAATTTTTTCTTCAACCATATCTGATTAATTTTAATCATATTTACCAGGCACTAAAGGAAGGTCGTGAACCAGACTTATCTGACTACAAAGAGTTCAAGATCACATGTGAAAACCTTGGGTACCAGATGCTACAGAAGCTTGGCTGGAAAGAAGGGGAGGGGCTAGGATCAGAGGGGCAGGGGATCACTCAACCGGTCAATAAGTAAGTATTTTATTAAAAGGAAGGGGCAGAGTATAACTAGCATAATGTGCACACCTACATAAGGTGCACATGTACTTTTTGGGGTTGAAAATACTGAAATGCTTTTGCTTGCATAATGTTGCTCATCTAAAAATTTCATTTTCATCTCTTGTTTTGACTTTGAATTAACTTCTCTTTAAGTTTGGTGCAATACAATTGAAGAAAATCTGCCTAATATTTGTGCTCTTCTTGTTTGTTTTCTTTGACCAAGACACATTAAACTGTATCTTACACTTACCTATCCAATTCACCCTGATTTATTTATCTTAAAGAATACATACACAAACACTTGTCTTTACACTAATCAACTCAGTTCAGTGTTGAAGTCACAGATACCAGTAATAATATTCCTATTAATGACCAAACCAGATCATTACAATCAAATAAAGCATCAAATCATTCTTGTGTCAGTTTTGTGTACTAGGTAATCTGGATAATTAAAGATTTCAGCCTCACAGAATCAAAGGGAAAAGAAAAAAACCTTTAAGAATTCGTCGCTTCATTATATGCGCCCCCAAACCTTATGATAACCCACATGTATTATAGCCACTATGTAATGAATTAATTAACTATCCTATAGGGGCAACCAGTCTATAGAGGGACGAGGACTTGGCACAGAACGTCCAGCAAACCTTTCCCGAGATGATGATGAGTATGACGCCTTTCGGAAGAGGATGATGTTGGCTTACCGATTCAGGCCAAATCCTTTGGTAAGTGATTAGGCTCAGACCTAAATCAAGTAAAGAGACTGCTTTATTAGTGGGAGGAATATGGTAGAATTGGTATTAAGGTCTTAAATGGGATATAAGCAGGAATTTGGTATTGAGATCAGACATAGGACAATAGAGTTGGAGTCACACTTTGGATGGTAGTAGAGGTATGGTATTTGGGGTGACAGAAGGAAACATAGTGTTTAGGTCATACTTTGGATGATATTAGGGGCTAGGATTGAAAACTGATTACAAGATGGACAACATATAGGTGATACAAAGGAAATTCTTTGTAAGCTGGGTTTATCTTGTTTTGAACAGCCAGGGTCATCTTAAGTTGGGGTCTTTTTAGCCTCCTTATTGAACAGGGTGTGTGTGGCCCATCACATGCTATCTAGAGCAGCTGTGTTAAAGTGTTTTGCCATATCTGTGATAGGTCAGCTTTCTGAGTTTGCAAAGTCTGATGCTGTTCTGACTGAGCTACGGTGCCCTGTCTGTAATAAGTGTTTACTACAGTTAAGCAATCCCATTGAGGATATTTGAGGTATCATAGTTTGGTCTGGCAGGGATCAGAAGAGGAGGTATGGTATGGGGTTGTAATGAGGTAAAAAATACAAGTATTACAGTGTGAGATGGAGGGTCACAAGGGGAAATGGTTATGCAGGGGATATTATAGAAAATGGACCTGGTAATAGTGTGAGGGTCTATAGAGAGAATTGTGGCACATGGTTCAAGCAGTGGATGTGTGAGAAAAATCACAGGATTTACATTTTAACAAAGAAGTTCTTGTCTAATCTAGAAGTAGTTTTAAAACTAAATACATCTTGATAATATTTTGTTTCCATTTTCAGAATAATCCCAGACGACCATATTACTGAACCTTGGAGGAATGCCAAGCATGAACTCACCTTGTACTATGTTTCAAAGTGACAACACCAGATAGTCTTCTTGTGAAGAAACACATCAGATCACTCATCACGTTTTTCCACAATTATCATATTGCTTAACTTCTAAAGTGCAATAATTCTTGGAGCATGAAGGAATAAAATAAATAATTGAATTTCATATAAGGAAATATTACAGGGTTGCTACCATATTTACTGCAAATAAGACCTCACCCCACTTGTGTGCATCTTCCAGGAATAGATGATTGCTGGCAATAAAGGTCCCCCAATACTACAACCAAATATATATATAAATGATATCATTTGCTACTTAACCAGAAAAATATGGCTATTGCAATCAAAAATATGTGTTTTGAATTTGGAGTAGATTGTTATATGGACCAACCATATTGAGGTAATTCTTGAAACACACCATTGTCATAATGTGTGGAAAAAGTCAGCATTGACAATCACTGTTTCTTCATTTATTCAGTGTGCCACGACTATGAGCAATATTTTGTCGTGGCCATTATCAGACTGACTGATTGATTAGCTCAGAGAAATGTCTTGCCTGTGGTGCTTAAAGTCTCATTATCAATAGTAATTCTCATCAATAAACCAGGCTTATTTGCAGTTAAGTACGGTATTTTTCCAGAAGTAATGAAAAATAAGACAATGGATATATCAAAATTATTCAAACAAGTCTAGATACACTTGCTATCAATACAGGAATAAGTTTAATTCAATCTTCCTAGAATTGCTGATCATCTCATTTTGAAATCTAAATGCTTTGAATCTTACTATAACATGGAAACATTTGAGGGTAAAAATGGTATTCTGAAACGGCTTGAAAGTGTGACGAAATATCCACAAATTACACCTATTTTGATGAATGCTGTAATGGAATATTAATTCGTTATCAATTGTTTGAGAAAGTTTGAGCAAATATGTTATCAACTCAGAATGATTTCTTCATATTCTTTTTATTCAGCGTTATCATACTCAAAAATGTAAATATATTCTGTCACTTCGACTGAAAAATCAGGAAAAATATCACAGTAACTCTCAAAAGTTAACTAATTATCAAATTTACCCAGGAATAGTGAATATGGTTACAGATTGACGTCGTCTTACACAGATAATCAAATTTACCCAGGAATAGTGAATATAATAGTATAATAAATGAAACACTGACATCCAAAAACTGTAACAAAAACAACTGATCTGTTTGTTGATGTGGGGGTAATAATCAGAACCTTGTAATATCACAACCGACTTGATTTTGACCATTATGTGTGAAATTTCTGTAGAGATATGTGTGTGTAAAGTGATGTTGATTATGGACCAGATGGCATGTTTCCGTTGTATTTTAATGAGAAGTGGTAACAGTTATGGAGCAATCAAGAACTTTATTACTATGGTGCTGAGATGCAGTTTAACATAGATTTATGTCTTATAATTTATCTTATAAAGAATTACTAAATATTCTAGGTAATTAAAGAACATCTGCTGGTACAAGACATTTTGTTTTGAAGTGCATTTTCTATACAATTTCAGCATTAGTTTTTTGTTTCTTGAATGATTTGTGTTGTTCCAGATAAGATCACTTTTAAGGTGTGCATTTTCAAAACCTGTTGTCATGGCACTGTTTATATCAAGAAATGTTTTTCTTTTGGGACCAAGTTTGAATGTATCTGTTATTACATTGAGAAAGAACCTTTTTATCTCATTGTTTGGAAATTGAGAGATAATATGGAAAATGCACTTTGGTTTTCCTTTTTTTTAAGCTCATGTGAGCTATTTAAAATTTGGTTAAACTGTTCAGATATGTTGTGTTGATAATTCTGTTGATCCAGTTTTGAAGTTAGCCAGTTTTTTTGTATTGATTATGCAAAAAAAGATGTATTTACATAAAACCTGATGTCTCCATTGGGTTTCATTTTTTGTAGATGTTTAATCATATACAGCAGAATACAAAATGTGCTTTAAAATGGTAAACAAAACAAATACAGTGTACTATTGTCACACAATTATGCAATAGGGCTCAGTAGACTTTCTGTCTTGCCTAACCATCATATGTATCTCTTTCTTTGAAGAGCTACCAAGTCACTAGCAGCTATAGATATAGTCATTTATTTGATTTTGAATTTTTTTATTTATTGCTACAGTTTTATATCCGTTTCCCTCAATCCTAACCCTCACATACACTTCCTCACATAAACACACATACGGGCACACACAGACACACTTAGTTCAAGGGGATATATATCCTCGATAATTATTACAGGATCTGTTCACACAAACCCCTCAACAGATTTTTAGGTAACAAGGTCTCATGGTGACCTATTCTAATACCCTTTCATCCAGCGCCGTGCGTCTGAACAATTTTATACTTTCTCAAAAAGTCCTGATCCGATGTCAATGAAATTTTGCAGAAACTTTCCCTGGCCTAATATGAACCAAAATTGTGAATTATACAGTCCCCACCCCTCAAGTGCCTGAATTATGAGTGAAGGATAACGACTTGATGGTATGCCCATTTTGATGCTGACTGACCCCCAGGGGCTGATGGGTTGAGCCAAAAGGGGTCGAATTGACTTAAATTTCAAAAATCTTCTTCTCAAGACCCAGATGTGGTATAATCAAATGCTCTTCGTGACTTGAAGCATCTTAAGGTGCATTTATTATCAAAATGAGTCTCACAATTCTTTCTGGGGAGGAATTTTTTTTAAGACTTTACTGTAATTTTCATAGAAAAATTACATTTTGGAGCGCAACATTGGTTATTTCCCACTGGAAATAACTTTATAAAAATTATCAGTAGAGGATGTCAGTTTTCATGGTATGCATGTATTGACACTGGCTTACTCTATTCAGTGTCACAATTTCTGTTTCATGACACTTGAATAAATATCCTCTGAAAATTAATTAATGCATGTACATATTTACAAGTCATTTGTCATTTAGCCTGTTTTTGTTTTTTATTTTCTCTTGTTTGTTGTTTTGTTTTTTTGTTTTTTCTTCTTCTTTTTTTTTTATATTTCTTGAATTTCTTTTTGATGAGAGTCAAATGAGAAAAAACTGATTCTTTGTGTGAGAAAAAAGATCACTACATCAAAAGTGAAGGGCTTTTAATAGGAAGATGAACACTGGTGGAATATGTGACCAAACAACACTTGGAGAAATAGTAAGTTGGTCAGTGAGGGATAACACTATATTGCTAACATCTTTAATAAATTCATTGTTCATTTTAGACAAAGTAGCACATCATTCTAGCTTTGGATATTTAGTCGATATTACTTATAATTTCAATCGTGTAAACTGTTTGCCAATTTAGAGACAACTTTTTTTTTTATTTCAGTTAGTCCCTAAATTGCTAATCGGAATTTATATGATGTATATCGGTGAACAACCAAATAACAATTTTTTTAATGTTTTATAAATCAATCCTGAACTTGGTCAACAATTTCAATGCTATGCTGCCGTTACTTCATTCATCCTTTTGATTCTAGTTGCAATATTTGTAAAATAATATCAAATTGCTGAATACATTGCCTTAACTGGAAGATAAACAAGTGATATTTTTGTAAATAACATTGGATACTTTAAGAATATGTAAATATCTTATCTTTTGATTTTTTCTTTCTTTCTTATTTTCATTTTTTTTTATCTTATTTTTTTTTTTGAACATTATTCATAATTTTTCGTTCACAATATCTGTTTTCACACCTATAAGAGTGGGATATACCCATTTGTAACAATGATTTTAAAATTTATACTGATCTGAAGTGTATACATTTTCGTATAGATTGCTGATTTTCAGAAGTCTGTAAATTGCTTAGAAAACTTATTAGTTTCACCTTTTTCACAGCGCAAGTAAATGTTCCCATGGATCAATCAATTTAAAATGCTAACTTTCTATTTGTACTTTTTGGGAATCCATGTTAAGCTCTGAAGTGAGTCTGTAAAATTTTCGTTTAGGATTTTAAAGCATTCAAAGACGCTGAAACTATGAAATATGTACTGGTAGTTACTGTACGAGGGCGAGAGTTCATTTACACCAATCACATTTAAGACCTCAATAACTGCTTTTTTGCCTTATTGACATTTTGTACAGCAAACCAGCTTAATAAATTATTAGGGATTGGATTAATAAGAGTTTCACTAGTGTTAGAATATTTATTTAAGTTGATCATTCAGTACTTGTCATTCACTGGTTTTTCAGGTACTATGCCCGGATTATGTACTGCTATAGAGTGTTAATTTTCTTACTTTACTGATGGGGTAGGGCCATTACTTCTCACTGTAGTTCCTAGTTTGCAACATTTTTTTTCTCCTTTCATTGATAAATGCATTTATAATTACTAAAAACCTTTGACTATTTTGCAATTCTGCACAATAAAGAAATACATGCACAAGGACAAATTTGGTAATAATTTAAAATTTCATTCACTCACAGGTAGTGTCTGATAGATTATTCCTTAAATGTTATTTTTGTGTTTTGATTTCTCTCAGTTGCCTGTAGAGTTAGACAGCTGTATAAAGATTTCTCGCTATATACAACACTAGTGATGTAGGCAGCTTATAGGTTTCTGCAGTGTTCATTACTTATACAGACACATGATCTTACTTTGAACTGGTTTTCTGTGTTTCATCTAATAAACAGTAAGATGTCATTTACAAAAGGAAATGTTATTATTTTTCACTTGTTCGTTGACATGATTTTTTGTTTTTTTGTTTTTTTTCAAAAACACCAACCTCTGGATTGTTTGATGTATGAATTTATTATCCCCTTCCCAGTTGGCAGGGGATATTCAAATGGGTTCCATCCGTCATTTCCTCCATCCTTATGTCCGTTCTTTCGTTCTCATCCAGATGCTGCTATCCAACGATATCTTTTAAAGGACTGGTCAGATTTTGATAAACTTAGTACTTGGTTGGTACACTTGTTACCTTAATCCCTTACCCAAGTTCGATTCAGGGTGAATTCTGCACATATTTAATGATGCTACTGTGACCTGACTGACTGATTTCTTTAATCACTTTATGGGAATGTTTTCTGTGCACTATCTTAAGAAGGAATGATGAAATGTTTAGAAAACTTTTTTTGTAGACTTGTTACCTTACTCTTTGTTCAAGTTTTCCATATTGCTCACTTTAAATGTATAATACAATCATATGTATCTTACAAATGAACCTTGGCGGAGGATCTTGACCATGTCCTTGTTCAACACGTTGGGGTGATGTATGGATTTATTTGACACATTGGGAAATAATCTCTTTTTAATGATCATGTTCCAGTGGATATCTGATAAGGCTGTAGCCTGATATTTAGAACAAGCTTTATGGTGTGGTCGGGATGTTCTGTATAGTTTGTTAATTTGAGTTAATATTTTGTGGTTGTCCCAGTTTGGGGTATAACACAATATGTTGGAGTATAATATGATTACCTTACATTCTGGTCTATATTATGTGTTTACTGGGTATTTAATTGCACACTGTCTTTGATGACTTGAAATAGGGAAACAAGCAAATTCGCGGAATTTATATCCCCCGCTTTCCAAACATATTGTAAGTAAATAATTTAAAGGTTAGGTATTAACTGATGATGCTGATTGCTGAACTCAGTCTTATGTGCCCTATGTTTATGTGCTGATTATATTTAGGAAAGTTAGAGCACGGAAATGAACCAACTAATGAAATCAAAGGATACCTCATTAGTATGCATAATTATTAACAGATGACACTGATAGTCAAACTCGGTCTTAATGACCTCAAGATGCATCTGCTGACCAAACTTCACCCAAATTGGATGATATCTGGGGAAGTTACAACACAGAAATGAAAGTGTGACAGACAGACGGACGGACGGACAAACCCAAATTAATATCCCCGTTTCAGTGAAAGCAGGGGATGATTAGATACCAACAAATATTACCAACCAATCGTAAAGGAGCAAAAATGCCCAACACAACATTACTGGTGAAGTCACAAATTTGGGATAACCACAAAAATACCACAGGAAGCAACCAATCACTAAAAGGATTTGTAAAGAAGAAAAGTAAAATGATATTAACATGGAGTACTGGCACTCATTGATGAATGTGTCTCCATTGTTTACAGCCTCCAAGTCTTATTAAAATAATATACCAAGCTGTTTCTAACCTCATTTTCTGTATATAAAAAGAACTGGGTTTATTTGATAACCACAGAAAACACCTTACTGTCACAAAATTCCATTTCGGAATAAATAAAGAACTAAGACTGAAGGCTTGATCTCCACATATAGAATTCTAGATACCTTAGATTCCTTTCTGTTCTTTTCCTTTAGTCACTTGATGAATAAATATATTACAAAGCTTGTGAAAAGACATCTCCTGGACACCTCATAGCTTAACATCTACCATAGTATTTAACCATCAAGTTTTATTCCTGGTCAGATTTCCGTAGTACCATGTCCAAAAATTCTTGAGTTTGAAACTGTTAATGTTTTTGTCATTCTAAGATCAATTTAAACAGCGGATAGTTTTATTTTCTCGTGACGTGTGTTAATGTGTTGAGATCTTGGGTTTCATCGTTGAGCTTTTACAGTCACGGTTAACTGGTGTATGGGGGGGGGGGGGGGGGGGGGGGGGGGGGGGGGGGGGGGGAAGGAAGATAACTCTGTCTTGCTTGAGGATCGACCTACCACAAAGCGGACAGAATTGTTATATACCGTGTCTGTATTAATAATATTTCAAAATGACATCTTATCGATTTCAACAATAATATATCATATACAATGTACTTATGATTGGTTTGCATTGGTATTCATGTTACCTCTTTAAATGTTTTTGTGTGCGTTTCGTCCGTTGTTCATATACCGTAAAACAGTATTTAACATTAGTCGCTAGGCGTTAAACTATAAATAATACGCGAACGTAAAATGTTTTTTTTCACTTTGTTTTTATTATTATAATTATTATTATTCTCGCATCAGTCATATGAAGACTGACGATGGCCTGTCTCTTTACGATGGGCAGCTCATGACAGGTCGCCGGAATAGTGGATGCCGTTAGTGACAATTCTGTGATGTATTCAAAAGTCGGTACGGTACCTTCTATGTTTTATGAGTAGAGGACACTGAGGTTCTCCTCAGTTCCTTCTTTAGTGATAATGAAGAGATCAAATTGATTTTCTGCGGTCGAGAAGTTTTATATTTTTCCTGTCTAGGTTTTCTTGTGTTCTTGTATACCTCTGTAAACACCACCTGCAATCTGGCCCTTAGCGGCGAGGACGTTACCTCGAATATTTATCACAAAATTGTCTCTAGACTCGCCCAGCTTATCTGCAGCTTGTAGTAAAGACAATTATGTTTGACAATCTACATAATTAACGGACAAAGAAAAGACAATGGTTACATTCTCACCTGAACGTTCAGCTTCACGCTTTGATTATTTTCGTTTGATACGTATTCTTGGTTTCGCCGTGGACCTCTTTATCAGTTGCTTCCTACTTAGCTTTCTGTTGTTTTTCCTAATTTTGCTGGATCTGTGTAAAACTTTTGGTTATCCTGAAATTTTATATATTTTTTTTTCGTGTATAGTTTTACCTGTTGGTGGCATTTTCACCTAAATTTCTGGAATGACCCGTTTAGACGCTCTTGATGTATTGAATTACTATGACTTGTAGTGTCCATGTCAATTTATATATCTGGAGCTTTCCCAGTTGATATGAATTCTTTCTGTGTTCTCTTCGGTTTGGGAATTACAGGACTTCTTCAAACTGGGTGCCATGTTTGTTTTCTTGTTTGGCCATTCTTCTGCCCTCCTTCACTGAATTACTTTTCGTGTCCTCATTTTTACTTTCATTTACCACTGTCTCGACCAAATTTAATTGCAATTAATTTCCAGGTAGCCATCCTCGCTGCTTCCTGTTTACATACTTCTCGTCCATTAACCTTTTCAATAGTCTGAGAATGCATAC